CTCATCATAATGGCTACCGCTGACTTTATTCCTCATTATTGGCGCATCAACGACTTTGTTGCAATCCTGCCCATGGCCACTGTCGCTGGAAGCCATCTCCTGCTGCCCTTGGCATTGAATCCTGCCCTTATGACCTTTTCATGGTAGTTCTGGTTCATGTACCACCCCAAAAGCATGTCTATTCCTTTCTTTTCTTTTGTGCTGTCTTTACATCAGGCCTAGAGTCAACGGAGTGTAGAAGGATCATACCCAGTAACATTCGTTTTTGTGGCTAGGTTTTGAGAGCCTGTCTGTATATATAATAGCAAATAAACTCTTATTCAAGACAAAGGTTCAATTGAGGTGAACTGCTGAATCACTAGTGCTCACAATAATAACTTCTATTGACATATATTCCGGCCCTTCGATATCAACAGTGACATTGCTTTTCACTGTATGTTTCACTCAGAATTGAATAAGCGAACAGTTGGGTTCAAAATTTTGACATCATCACAAATTAGGGAACCGAATCTGTAGAAAGTTTGATTTGATTCAAAGCCGTCTATCCCAAACCAACGCCTCTATACCATCCGTTCAGGTCTATCTAAGTGTGTAAGTACCATTCATTCTTCATAGCGAGATACCGCATCATGCATACATGAGGTAATGTCTTCATTCTCTTTTTGTAAACAGCCGCCAGATGCCGCACAGCCTGAGGACTTGTTCATATCCGCATGGTTTCAAAAACAAAAACGCACATAAGAGCAAAAGATTCCAATGACTTTTCTAGTTGTCCTCGTCGTCAGTGTCGGGAGGGTGAGGAGTACCCTTAGGGCTGTTGAGCCATTCGATGTGGCGAAGCCGGCGGCGGACCTCACGCTCCTTGACCTCCTTCTTGGTCATTTTCTTCTTCTTCCTAGCCTTAAACTTCATATCCGAGTTGTCCTCGATACCACTGTTGACAGCGCTGCTAACAACGGAGCTGGCGGCAGTGCTGTTGACGCCGCTGCTGGGACGGCTGTCCTCAAAGCGGTCGAGACTGACAGCAGCGTTTCCTCGAAGGGCAACACGGCCGTCACGAACGTGCCATTGCTCAGAGCAAAGGGCACCGACAAACTCTTCGTTGTGAGAAATCAGGATAACACCGCCCTTGAAGTCGCGAATAGCAACGGCAAGACCACCAAGGGAGTCACGATCCAAGAAGTTGGTAGGCTCGTCAAGCACGAGAAGATGGGGGTTGTTCCACATGGCTCCAGCAATGACGACCTTGACCTTCTGACCTCCGGAAAGAGAGCCAATCTCGTTGTGGTTGGCGATCTCGGGGTCGAGTCCGAGATCCTCAAAATGCTTGGAGATGACCTTGGGCTGAAGCTCACGGTAACCGAGACCCTCTCGAGAAGCCTCGTGATCGTCGAATTCCTGGACGAGCTTGTCGAATCCAAGCTCGGTAAGAGTCTCACGAGAGATCATGGTGTTGTTCTTAGGCAGGAGACCACGCCACTTACTATTAGGAGTCAGTATTGCGCCCTGTTATAGAATAAAAAAGGGAACTTACACTTCGTATTGGAAGGTCTTCTTGTACTTCTGACGACCAACCAGGGACTCAATCTGGCGAGGAGACTTTCCGTCCTTCAGGTCAACCCACTTGTCCATCTGGGCCCGGTCGGCATCTGACAGAACACGAGTCTGCTTCATGTGAACCTCTCGGTCGTCACCGTGCTGATAACGCCACTGAAGGTACTGGTTAGGGGTCTTCTCCAAGTGCATCTCAACGTGCTCCAGAGCGTGCTGCTTGATGTAACCAATACGGAGGTTGGGGTGCTTCTCAACCTTTCCGGTGGTAGGGATAGTCTCGCCGGTAAGAAGCTTGATAAGAGTCGACTTGCCAGCACCGTTAGGGCCGATGATAGCAACACGAGAAGACAGACTCAGTTGACAAGAGACTTCCTGCAGTGAAGGCTTCGTCGCACCAGGGTAGGCGTATGAGACGTTAGACATGCGGATAATAGCACGAGTCTGAGACTTGACACCAGTCAGGATTCCAGGAGGAGGGAACTTGAATTGGACGGTAGAGGCGGAGAGAGTGTAGTAGCTCTTGGCCTCAGGGCGAATCTTGACGAAATTTGCCAGGTTACCCTTGTAGCAAGCCAGCTTCTTGTTAGGCTCGTAGTGGTAAATGTCAGTTGTGACATTGTCCAGAAATCCAGAGTCGTGAGAAACAATCAGACTAGTTATATCGGGATGAGACTTGAGGTAGTTCTCGAGCCATGCGATGTTGGCAACATCAAGATGGTTAGTAGGTTCGTCCAGGAGGAGAACATCAGCACGCTGGAGCATAGCTCGGGCCAGAGCCAGCTTCATCTTCCAACCTCCAGAAAGGGAACCAACTCTCTCAGCCTGTCGACCCTCGGGACCAGCAGTGAAGCCGAACTCAGCCAAAACCTCAGAGATACGCTCGCGGCCTTGAGTGGCAATCTCAGGGTCCTTAGCAACGAACTCAAGAATGCTGATGTCAGCATCTTCACCCTGGTTGTGCTCGACATAGCAGGTACGGAGAACATCTTGAGGAGGGAATCCCTCGAGCTTGCCGTTAGCAATGCTTCGCATGAGGGTCGACTTTCCAGCACCGTTGCGGCCGCAGAGACCATATCGGTGACCCTTGAGGAGTCGCAGGTTGGTGTGCGACAAGAGCAGCATACCACCATAGGCCAGTGAGAAATCGGCGTTAACAATCTCAACCTCACCATCGTCCTCCTTCTCAGGAACACCGTACCGGCGGTGATCCTCATCAACATAGTACTGCTGAATAGTGTCGGCAATCTTTTGAGGGGCCTCGGCATCCTTCACGAAACCCTTGAGGTAGGGAGCAATTCTTCCAGAGATGCGATCGACGAATCGGTAGTTGACATCGATAGCAACCATGTCGGAAATATAGGGACGAGCCTGCTTCCAAAGGTCCAGGCTTCCAGTGAGACCGCCGTTGGCCTTGATCTGCTCATCGAGGATCTTGGCAACATCATCTCCGGCCGTACGAGCGACAACGTCCTTATCGTCACCCATAGCCTTCTCCATAGTGGCGAGGGCGCGTTCAGCGATCTCGCGAACCTCAGGGAGCGAGGCTCGGTCGCAAACGCTCTTGACACCGGGAATCAGCTTGGGCAGGAAAGTTCGAGCCTCGATGGGGTCGTGAACCAGCTTGGTCAAGTTTTCGACAATAACGACAGTCTGTCGGAGAACCTCCTGGGCAGTGGTGGGGTTGTTAAGAGATCGCTCGAGGAAAGGAGTCAGAAGAGCCAGGACAGGTGAGGTGACGATGGCGACGAAGGTGGTCTGAGACAGGGCGTGAATAGCCTTCTGGAGAGTCTGAGATGAAGGGTGCTGCATGGTATCGACAAGAAGAGGGATACGAGGGGCAACATCGTCGTTGGAGAGAAGGGTAGTGAGAGAGTTCATGGTGTGGACGGCTTGCTTCTCGACCTCGGCCTTCAAGTCATGCATGCCATTCTCGACGATGGGGATCAAGCCAGCGAGCTTAGCACCCATGGCCTCACGGAGAAGATCCTTCTCGAGGGCCTCCTCCTTTGTGCCTCCAATAGAAATTTGGGCCTTGTCGGCCATCTTCTGCAGCAGCTTGTAGGCGCCAACGGTTCCCTGCCACTTTCCGGTCTTCTTGGAGAGGTACTCGGTAAGAGCTGGAAGGAGACCAGCGACAAGAGCCTCGGGGCTCAGGATGCCAAAAGCGGCATCAAGGCCATACTGGGCGGCCTCACGGACGACAGCGCCCTTATCAGAGAGAGCATCGAGAGCGCAGCCAACAAGACCGCCATCCTGGAGGAGCAGAACAACCTCGCTGACAGGCTGTCGAGGGAGGAAACGCTCGAAGACGGCACCAAGAAGGTTCTGGCTGGACTCGCGACGAAGACCCGACTTCTTATCAGCAGCAGCCTTCTTGATCTCGGCGACGATGCCGTACTCGTTCAAGCCGGCAACGCCAACCGAAGAGAGGATAATCTCGCAGAGGCCATAGCATGCATCGATCGAAGCGGCCGAAGTCTTTGCAGTAAAAATTGTGTTGAGGAGGTCGTTGATGGTCTCTTGAGATGGCGGGGGCGGGGCTTCGTTAGATACCATCGTCGGGTCCTGCGACGGCGGCGTAACGGGGTGAGGCATCGTATATCGATTTCTTCGTGTAAGCAAACAAATATATACGATTGATGGGCCTCGTTAAGTATTAGGTACTGCTCCAGAAGAGGACAGTAGAAATAAGAAAAAAAGAACAACAAAAACCAACGAGGCCCTTGAGGGGGAAAAAAAAAAAAATAGGTAGCGAGCGTAGAAAAAGCGCTGCTTACGATGGATGTTAGGTAAAACAAAGCGACTTTCATAGGTTGGGCGCACTACTAAATTTCGGGTTTGAAATTTTTCTTATCGCTAGGGGCGGTTGTCTTATCGCCATCCACTTGGAGACTCCGCCCCACTTAGACTTCCTTGTTTATTTCCACGTGCATTCTGGGGAGCCATTTAGTGGACTCTTGATATGCGATTCAGAGTTACCGATCCAGAGGCAAATTAAATAGTACTAACTCGATTAAAGTTCTGGACATCACTCCATGTAAAGCAAAAATGTTGTGTGAAAAAAAGTGAATCTAGTGGCTTCTAATGACTGTGGTATCTAAATAAGTCTCAGATGTGCATCAGAGCCAAGGTTCGTCTTCCCAGTCAATGACCATTTACGCCCGCATGTCGGTGGCTATACCATAAGTTACCGACTTTTCCAGAGTCTGTGCTAAAAGTAAAAGGGGAATGAATACATGAAATATGGTCGACTAGTTAACATAAGGTAGGTAGGGTATAATAAAAGAAGAAAGAAACAGGCATCATATCATCCTGACCGCCTCACATGATGAATACTTCCCAGAAGCTGCGCCACCTTGAAAAAAAAAAAAAAAAAAAAAAAAAAGAGAGAGAAGAAGAAAATTACAACTACAATGCAAAGGTAAAATCCCACTTCAATGCGTCGACTAATGATCGTGTTCACTTCTAAGAGCCACTGGACCTTGGAAACCAGAACTTCCAGGGACGACGTCGTGCATTTCCAGTCCCTGAGAGCTCGATCTCGGCCGCTTGTCTCTTCGAATACCGAGGCGTTGGTCGCCTTCATGATAATGCGCTTTAAACTGATAATATGTGGGTTGTCGGGGGCGGCATAGAACGACAATAAAGTTTTTGAACATGTTGGCTTGAGAGAATGCCCGGAAACGCTCTTTCTTGGCAAACTTGTGCGAGTTCATGTACTCTCTGGTCGTTTCGCCTCGTGCCATGAGGAAGATGTGATATCCCATCAAAGCAGCAGGATAAAGGAAGGAGATAAACCCAAGGAAAACCAACGCAAAAGGAACTCGGAAGTGATCGATAGCTTGTCCGAATGAGACACCCTCACGATTCTTGTAAAGAAGAATCTGTGTCAGAGAAGTGGCGATCAGATAGGCCGCGAGAATAGTCGCGGACGTAACAAAGGTAAAGAAATATCGGTAGTTGCGTTTTCCGACACAGTTGTTGAGCCACACGCAGTGATGGTCATGGGTCTCAATACAGTTATCGCATAAGCGACAGTGGTGGGCACGGGGTGGCCGCCAGATATTGCACGTTCTACAGTGCTTAACCGGAACTTCCATTGCGGCTGTTGTTGATTCAGCAGATTTTATCAATGCCCAATCTGTTGTGGGTGGGCTAAGTTGGAGAGGGTCGTCGTTGTCGTCGACAGGGGGGAACTGGTGAAGATTTCGCGGAAGAATCTGACAAGCATTAGCCAACACTCACCATGATTTAGACAAGATATATGACTTACCCCAGGGTCCGTAACAGAGGCGTGGATGAAGGAAGAGAAACATATATACGCAAGGTATGCAAAAACAATAGGTATCGCAGGCGATACATGCTTCCATAACCAAGGTGCTTCAAAGCCGAAGAACAGGGCGCAAGGAATGATGACAAAGATACCGGTCGCAATGTTAACGGGTCTCCCTCTTGTGTTTTGCCAGCGACCACCAAGACAGAATACTGTATTTCCATCAAAATACTGATGAACACGTCCGAGATCGGATTTCTGACTTGGTTTGTGAGGGACACGGGGATGACGTTCAGTATGAGAGTCTACAGGTCTGAACTGTGGTGAAGATGCGGATGAAGAGAGTTTCTCAGCTCCTTCGGTACTGCGATTCTGACTTTGCTGGCCTTCGTTACTTCGACCAGGCATGAGAAAGCTTGATCGGAACGACCGTGGAGATTTAATCGGGCTGGGCAGGTTGTGTAGGTCCTTATAACTTTTATCCACAATGATGTTATGCTGAAAGTGACCTGTGTCGGAAGTCTTGCCTTGTTGAAGAGGACGGACACTATCCGTCAAACTTCCTGCAGGATAATGGCCATGGCTTGGGCTCGTATTCGCTGTTATTCTGTCCAAAGTTTCTTGCTCCGTCATTTCCGTACCTCGGGATGGTGGAGATCGCATGTTTTCGTCGTTGCTCGTTTGGCGCTGTAATTGCGCAATCGGGTTCGATATTATACTTTGCCGTGTTTGACTACCGCTAGCCTCACCGTGCTCATCGAATCTATATGATGTCGGAGATGTTGGAGATGTTGGCGAGGTGGGAGACGCTGGCGACATTTGACTCATGGTAGATGGGCGATGCGACCCTCCTCTTTGCGCCTGTAATTTCTGCGAGCTCATGGGTCGGAAGAAGGCATGCGACTGTAACGATGGAACATGGCTTCTGCTTGATAAACTTGGCGCTTGACTTGTTGAACCAGCAGTCGAACTCTCGACACTCCCTCTCTTTGCTTGTACACCAGAAAGATATGTCTTGTTACGCAAAGACTGACCCTGCCATGGACCCCTGGAAGATGCTCCCGTTCGTGCAGTATCAGGCCGGGAACCCATGTCTGCACTTCGAGGAATGCTCATTCTGTTCTTTTGCAACTCTGGCCCGTCCCCGTCCTCACTCGCGATGTCCGTCATTCGAGAAGAAATTATGCTCGGCGGCCGGGCCGCTTCGGAACGGGAATTATGTGGCGTTGAGAAGCCTTCGTCATCGGATTTCGCGGCCATAGCGATGGCGATGTTGAGTAATGGTGTCGTTTGCAGTCGTCTACCTGCAGACGACTTTGCAGCAAGTCTTGATCGAAATTAAGGGAACGGTTGCGCGAATGGTCCAAGCTCAGCCTCTCATTCAGAGTCTCATTAAATTCGTCCTGACCAGTGAATAGGTAGTGTCGAATTATATCCAAAAGTGAAATCGGCACGGTCGGCAGGCTGTTCGCGTTACGCAGTACTGTACAAAGGAGCCAAAGGAAGGGAAGGGATGGGACAGGGGTGAGAGTATACGGGTTTGGATCGTGGAAAAAGGAATTAGGAGAAAGTGGTCGCGAGAAGTGAATAAGATAGTTAAGTAGGTAGGGAGCGCACAATTGGAGAGTAAACCAGTAAGTAAAAGAGAACGTAAAGGGCGGCCAGTAACGAAAAGAAAGGTGATGGATGGTGACAAGATGAGGAGGAGGTGTATGCTTGTTCCTTTTTCCTGTCCTGTCCTTGTTCCGGCTCAGGACTGGTTTCTTTTTCCAAGCCCAGCCCAGTCCAGCCTCAGAAACCTACCTTGGGCCTGAATCCTTAGGTAATTGGACGTTCGCGCTGCCCTCGGGCCCCTAGTAAGGGGCCAGGGGCTAACCTCAGGTCACTGAAGCCCCTGCTAGCGGCGCTGTTGAAAGGGCTGTCAGAGGTTGAGAACTCCATACGATAACTGATCACGGAAGGTAGAAATTGCTATGGCTGAACGCATACGTTGTAATCAAAATGCTCTATATCTTTCTCATGCACAAAAAGACGTCACTTTTAACAGATTGTGGAAACTTTCTGCAGCAACCCGTTTCGTTGACGTTTGACAGCCAGTCCCAGAATAACTTCGGTTACGTTAACTCAGTTAATGGTTGCATTCACTTAAACTTGACCGATGTCAACTAAATTTACTAGTCTTGGCCTTAAGAGGTTGATATGATCGTCGCTGCATCACAATGAACGAATCTTCATGCTTTAGCCAGGGACAAGAATGGTAGAGAAGGCCCAGCTTGTGGCCTGGTTACCCAGGCATCATCACTAGAAAGCTCTCGACTCGATTCAAGACGTCATTCCTTGTAAATCGTTGATGCTGCACGTGACCTTCTTGGCTCCCCCGGCATTGGCCAATGATAGTGCACGCATTCATCGTAGCGACTGTCTCCGAAATCATACGAGAACTTCAAAGCTTCAACCACCTAAGAAAGCCCCGACGTAGAAACCCATTCTTCAACAACACGCAAAAGCCCGTCGTCAAAATGGCCTCTCGCATCTCCCGCCGATTCCTCTCCACCACCGCCCGGCGCTTCCAGGAGCACCAGAAGGCTGAGCTCAAGAAGGAGTCTCGTCGCAACCCCGAGATTCTGGTGCGTCATAATGCCTCGGCCCACCCTTGGAACTATGCCCGGCCAAAACAATGAGCGACGGAAATGAACCACGAATTACGATTGCTAACGTAGATGGATGATTTGTAGATTCTCGGTGGTGTTATGGTTGCTGCTCTTGGCGGTGCCGGCTACTACCTTGGTACGGAAATCAACTGATATGTCAAAGTTGAAGCAATTGCTGACATCGTCAACTTCAGGCCGATCTCCCACTGGCGCTACCTCCGAGTCTCCCGTCACCATTGCTACTCACCCCTGGGAGAGCGGCAGCTCTGGCAAGTACCAGTACCACCCCGGTGGTGACCCCAACGCAGCTCCCAAGGATGCTCCCAGCGCTCTCAACGTTGTCGTCGTTCCCAACGTTACCCTTCCCGCCGAGCTTCACGAAAAGTACAACAAGTGGGGCAAGGACGGATACCCTTAAATCACGAGTTTGGAATCAAGTTGGAGCTGGCTACATGAGCAAGCATGTGTTGTAGGGAATGGGGGGGGACTATGAATTGGATTAATCAGGTCTCTCGCGCCCTGTGTAGAAAGAAAGAAGGACAGTGTGGGCTTGACTTAAGCAGCCACCCATAGTTCACATACGACGCGCCGCGATTTTTCTTAGCTTTGTGTCTTTTTAACTATAATTTGTGTTACCTTCGGCCTCACTGTGTCTATGCCTGATCTCTGGTCCACGGGAATTGACCGGGCGAAAGGCTGGTCGGGATATGTTCACATGAGCTGCCAATCACATCAGTGACGTGGTATGATTCCACATACGTCACAAAATAACTCTTGTTTCTCGTTGCTTCTTGGTATCTCATCACTCACTACTACAACACCCGGCGTTCCTTGTAATATCCTAAACTGCTATCTTCACCAGTCTTGTGACAACTTTCTCTGAACTTGACGCCAACAACTAAGCAACCAACGCATCAATTTCTTCAGAAGTGAATCCGAGAAGGTACAAAAGATCCAAAAGGCTCTCTCCGTTCAGGCGAGCATTAGCCTCCATCTGAACACGAGGCTTTGCGTTCCATGCAACTCCCAGACCTGCCTTGTCCAGCATGAGCAGGTCGTTGGCGCCGTCACCAACAGCAATGACCTGAGACAGATCAATGCCCTCCTTGGCAGCAATGTCAACGAGAAGATCCCTCTTCCGCTCCTTGCCGACAATGACCCCCTCAACCTCACCTGTGAACTTGCCGTCCTGAATAACGACATGGTTCGCGTGGGCATAGTCAATGCCCAGTTGTCCAGCTAGCCATCCTGTCAAAGGCTGGAAACCGCCAGAGAGAACAGCTGTCTTGATACCCAGTCGCTTGAAGGCCTTGATCAACTCTAGTACGCCCTTGGTGACATTCAATACTGGTCGAAGGCCCTCGAACAGGTTAGCGGAGAGACCCTTCAGAAGAGCGACTCGTTCGCGGAAGGAAGCCTCGAATTCCAGCTCGCCCATCATCGCACGGTGTGTGATCTCGGCAACTCGTGCAGCCAGATCTGGGGGATCCTTGACATGATCAGCCAAAAGGTCAATCACCTCTTGAGTGATGAGAGTGCTGTCCATGTCAAAAACCACAAGTCGAGGGTGGCGTCTCCACACAGTATCTCGCTGGAGGACCACGTCGACGTTCCACTCCTGCTCAAATCGGTAGATCATCTCGTGCTTTCTCAGGTCATCCAGACTCAGATATTCAGGAGATGGTGTAGGGGAGAGTGTGAGCTCAACAATGCGCGGTTGCTCCTGGTTGTCCAAACATCGATGAGATGAGTGAGGCTCATCGGCATCTTGAGGAAGAGGGAATGAAGACATGAGGTGGAGGAATGAGGTGATGCATAGAGGTGAGATATAGGAGCCATAGATGTGGTCCAGCTGCTCTGACTCTTGAGTTGGCGGCTCCAGAGGATACTCATTGGGATCGGTTGTAGGGGCCAAGTTGGCGGGCAGAGACTCGTTGCTGTCTGCAAAAGTGGTCTTGACAGGAGATCTGGAGCCCTGGTCCTCACCCCTTGGCTTATAGAAAAGGGTCGCGATGAGACGATCCGACTTCTCACCCGCTCTAGGAGCACAATTGGGATGAGAGTACGAATGGCTCAGTCCACTGTCAACGACAGTAGGGGGGTTTTCTTCAGACGGGATGCCATTGAAGGGCAAAATAGGCCTTGTCTGAGGAACGGGTGAGTTGCTGGTGTCCTCTATAACCGTGTCAATGCCGTGGAACAGCTGATCCTGTCGAGCTGAGTCGGGTCGAGGAGGGCGGTACTCCTGGTGATCACTAAGGTATGAGCTGCTCCTCATGGAACCCAGCTGCGGCCGTGTGACATTCTGTTTGGTGGGACTCGTCTGGTCTGCCATTGTGTCGACTGCCTGTTTGTGTGTACTTGCGTGCGCGGGGTGAGATTTGTTAACGTCTGACTGACTGGCTCTGACTGGTTCTGATAATCAATAGCGTCAGGGAAGAGCTGAGATACGAGGTTTAGAGCCCAAAAAGGAACTAAGAAATGTTTAAATCAATGTAGATAGGATAAGTGATGACGCGCAAGCGCCTACGGTACAAACGAGCAACGGACCCTAAAAGCTTGCGTTGAATCAATCTTCAAAGGTGAGAAGGTAGTGAGCGTTGTCTTTCGCCAGGCCACTTCTCTCCGTGTTTAGCCCCGCCAATGGCTCGTGCGACTTTGACCTTACGGCTTCTGTGGCTCCTGTCAGGCTTGGTCTAGGGTATGATTGGTGCAAATAAGCCCGCAGCCTCACGGGTTTTGTCATTTTGATGAAGACCTTCAATGAACCTGGAAAATCACGTGGGTGTGATTTAAGAAGGATGTAACTCTGATGAATTGTCTGTGGTAAAGCTCTGAAAGTAGCAATCGTAGCCCACTGTTTGTGTTGTTGGAGCACCGACTTTGGCCGTTAAGTTAGCTCATTGGGGTGACTCTATATGGGTATGTGCTGATAGCAACTGTGTGTTAACTGGTGAAAGCGACAGTAAGATGGCAAAGCCTTGGCTAAAGCAAGAGCAAAAATCAACAAAAATATAGAGTACGGTCACATTGATAAAGCAATGACGCAAGTAGCGAGCTGGGATTATGACGTAGCTTGAGATTAGGGCCAGCGATCTCCACGTTAGCTTGATAAGTCAGCATGTTTAGCAATTCATTCATCGTTAAACCCTTAGTGAGCACTCAATTATCGGATTACGGCCTAACCTTAATCCTTCCTGCGAATAGTCCCGAAGAGGAGAAAAAATTGATTAAACTGGAGCCAGGGACAACGGCAGTCGCACGGTTCCTCGGTACCGATGTTCCGACCTCATGTTAACAAAGACCGACTGCCGCACCGGCTGCCCGGTAATTGATGGCGCCTTTGAAGCACGTCTTTTTGGGAACATGTAAGACGCCAACATAATTTTATAACTGGAATTTACTTCGTCGTTGTGCTTTTATGCGGGTTAGAAAAGAAGCATCGAGCTGATAGGCCCGTATGAAGCATAACTCAAACCCATCAACTTTGATATCATCGATCTCAGGATGTGACAACACAATGGCTCATTCTTGCGACAGAGATACATACAGCAAGTGACACACTATCATCGTAAAGGGAAAGCATATTCACTTCCTCCGGGGATATGTAGAATTTCGCAACCCAAGCCAAAATGACATGATCGCGGGGAACCTGCCCTCATTATCATGCAATGGCCCTAGTCATTGACTCCATTTGATCTCGCCAATCCAATACATCCCCGGATCTAGATAACACAGGATTTGACTCTGGTTGCGAGATGAGCCAGATCAAGATCAGAACGATATTGTCGGTGCTTATTTCTAAGCGATGCTTATAGAATCTTCTGCTCGTATGATGATGATATACTCAAACTCCGGGGTTGCCGCTACCTATAGTTCCACCGAATAAGAGATACCAACCTAATGGACCTCCGGCTCGGCGGCTGTATCGAAATTCTGTCGTTGTCCGGGATGAGGTGAGGCAAAACAAGTCCCATCTGCTGGGCGCCATTTCAGGGCTTTGATCCATAGACCAATCAGACTTTGTCCTGAGCGTGGCGCCCCCATCGCGAAAGGTATAGCGTCGATGTCGTGATCAGTCTCAGTTGCAACTCATAGTCGTTAATCCTCATGGCGGCGATTGCGCAATTCCAGCTCCCCATCTTTTTCCACGTCCTGAGCTCGTCACAGGCAGAATAGTCTCGGGTTCGGACGATGTCCTTGCACATTACTAAGGACGCCCTTGGTCGGGGGCACAGCGGGCGGTCGCCCGGACATAGCTTGTAAACCCCATACAACTCAGCACGTCTCTCCCTCTCCCTCTCTCTTAACTTAACTTAAGAATTTGACCTTCCTCGTTCATTGTCGTGTTCATCATCTCGTCTCTCCAGTGCTTTGAAATCTTGCTCTATAATCAAATCAGCACAGTATCTGCGTCATCAACTCGACTAGAGCCTCCTCACTTTACCTTGCCTTTGGCTTCCTATTAGATATAACTGGGATACACTCCTCACCTATCCCAGCTTTCAACAAATCCAAGTAACAACTCATTCTCGAGACATATCCCCGCGTTTTCAACATGCCTGCCTTCATCTCCCAAACATCCTCGCAGGTGTCACTCACCGACATCAAGCTTGAGTGCGAGTCAGGCTATGTTTCTGGACAAAACTCAGAATACTCGTCACCATCGTCATCAACCACTCTCCCTCAGGTCTCTCTCACCAAGGCCCACATCAACCACCTCAACAACATGCTCGAGGATATGCACCCCATGGACATCCTCCGATTCTGCAAGGTCATGTTCCCTAACCTGTACCAATCGACTGCCTTCGGCCTGACCGGTCTCGCAACCATGGACATGCTCTCCAAGATCCAGAGGGAGCACCCCAACTCTCCCACTGTCGACCTCATCTTCCTGGATACCTTGTACCACTTCAAGGAGACATACGACCTTGTCGATCGAGTTAAGGAGCGATACCCCAATGTCCCTGTCCACATCTTCAAGCCCGATGGCGTCAACACTACCGAAGAGTTCGAGGACATGTACGGAAAGGAGATGTGGAACACCGCCAGTGAGATGTATGACTGGATTGCCAAGGTTGAGCCTCTTCAGCGAGCTTATGATGAGCTCAAGGTTGCTGCCGTCCTCAACGGTCGTCGACGATCCCAGGGCGCAGCCCGTGGTTCCATCCCCATCATCGAAGTTGACGATGAGCGTGGCGTTGTCAAGATCAACCCCCTGGCCACTTGGTCTTTCAAGCAAGTCAACAACTACATCAAGGAGAACAATGTTCCCTACAACGCTCTCCTCGATCAAGGCTACAAGTCCATCGGTGACTGGCACTCCACCGCCCCCGTCAAGGAGGGTGAAGATGAGCGAGCTGGCCGATGGAAGGGCCAAGACAAGACTGAGTGTGGTATTCACAACAAGAAGTCTCGATACGCCGAGTTCGTTGCCATGATGGAGCGCAAGCAGCAAGAGGAGAAGCTTGCTGCTGCTCTCGAGAAAGTGGCTCTGCCCACCGTATGAGTGCACTCGCACCCAGACAACCACTTATCTTTGATGACTTAATGATTGAGGCATTATGCGAGGCGTTTAAGGAAATAAACTGGCTCAGCAGTCATTGTAACTGAGCCAAAAGGTGCTTTTGATATTTCGGAAATCATTCAACGGCGTTAGGAAAAATACAGGAAGCCTGGTGCGATGGAGGAATAGTAAGCACACGACTGAGCAGATAGGCCTGTCGCAGGCTGCAGATAGAACAACAAATGAAAGAATCAATCAAACTTCTCAAATGTGCCTTTGATAGTGAGATCCGTGATATCAGTTATGAGAAATGAGGTCAAATGTCAACGGTAATCAGGATCACGAGATTGGAGCCACAATAAGATAAACTACCCCGCGTTAAGACATGAGTTTTCAAGCTAACAAAACATCACATCCCCACTGCCAGGTTCTGATATTGTCTTATCTGACCTTCCACCTACCCTTTAGTGTTACCTACAACTGTCCATTGTGACCTTTTTCAGCCTCGCGCCACTACTAACAAATAAAAAGTCTTGCCTCTCAGTCAAGATGCAGGACTTCGCTTCTTCTCCGCCCGCCTTTATTGAAAGAAAGAAGAATATTCTCGAACAGCTTGCGATTCCAGATACAGAATACACAGATGCTTCGCCGAAAGGCTCTGTAGATGAGGGGATCAGGGATCTTATTGATGAAATCAACCAACAATCCGGATTTGTCACTACCAGCAGCTGCGCAGGCCGTGTCAGTGTTTTCCTTGAAGGGAGAAGAGTTGCCGAGACTGAAGGAGAAGATGAACGGGTAGCAGGTGTTGGTGGAAAAGGCGCTGGGGGAGCGTGGTTGTTCGTTTCCCATGATCCAGTACCTGACAAGGGTGATGGACGTACAGACTGGAGCAGTTTATTTGGACTCCAGGAATCTACAGAGGCACAGGAGAGAACTGGAGAAGTGAAAGAGAGAAGACTTATTCACTTCAAGTTCGAGGCAATGGTAAGAAATTGTGCTATACCGAATATAGCGGAAGGCCATTATAGAATACAAGAACATTCATACTGAGACGTCACGTAGATCCTCCACGTCCTCACAGCATCACCTGAGCATGCTCAACTACTTCTGCGATGTGGCCTACAAGCAGGGTTTCGCGAGTCGGGTGCCCTCAACATCATCCCCAATGCCAAGGATGCCGCAACTCCCATGGTGGCTATACGGACAATGGGACTTGCCTTTGAGTCTCTCATCGGGCAGCAAGTTGACGGTCATCGACAACGCATAGTCTCACCCGAGTATCTCCAGACACTTGTCCAGATTGCCAACGAGCGCTTTGTCGAGAATAAGAAGCGCATCGAACGCTTCCAGAATGCCTTCAGACATGCCGTCTCTGCTCCAGCACCGCGTCGAAATCCTGAAGGACAAGAATGGGAGGACGCCGCAGCGAGAAGGGAAAGGAAGCGTGCTGAGGGCCTGCGAAAGAAAGCCGAGCTGAAAGCCAAGCAAGAGGCAGAAATAAGTAAAGAGGAAACTGACCTCGCAAAAACAGGACAGGAAGAAGACGCAGGACTGCTCTTTGAGATATAAGTTGTACACCTTAATTCCTCAACCTAGTTTTTCCCGCTACCAATGCCGTAATGTACACGTGCGTACCTGTCTGGGCATACCAGAGCCCATCATCTCTATATCTCTATAGAATCATTCCCCGTTTCCATTATCAGTTTTCCTGTCTCTCTCTCTACGAGACGACCTTCTCGACCCAGCTCTTCTCAAGTTTCTTAACTTCGGCCTTGAAGTTTTCCACCTCCTGCCAACAGTCTAGCGGCCGTCGGTCGTGCTCCCGCAGACATCGGATGACTTCATTGCGCGCACCCTCAACGCTCTCGGGTAGAGGACGCACTTGCTTGCGTGACTCGAGCTTCTGACGCATGTCTTCAATCTCCTTGCTAACGGTGTACTGGCTTGTGCTGTTGTCATCCTTGAAATCGGCGCTGGCAAGTTTCTCGTGTGCTATTTTGAGAGCTTCGGCTTCTTTCTGCTGTAGCTTCTTGAGCTCCTCGGCCACGCGGGCCTGGATCTGGAGCTCAACTATCTTGGAACGAGAGGCATCGGTCTATTAACAATGGAGAGAATGTGCATTAGCTTCGGTTGAGGCTCGCGGTAGCTATACTAGTAAGGTGATGCGGATTGAAGTACCTCATTGCTGGATTGTAGTGAATCGACAAGATCTTGTGACAGTCCGTTAGGCGCTGAGCTGTTTATTGGCAAGCTGTCAGTCGCTAATTGGAACATGGTAGCATGCCCTGCATATTTGGATTAACTTACGCCTTCCACACATGTGAGGAGATTGGTTTCGACTCGCTGGAACCCATTGTGTCGACCGCAATGGCTGTACAACCGATGTTCAATGCCCGGCTCGTGATAGCCTTCCTGGAAATTTCCGGCGTTGTTCGGGTGCGTCACGGAGCGGCGATCCGTGGCTGCCTGAGGTTGCCAATTCATTCAGTCAAGCGACGCCTCATGTGGCGCTTTTGTGTGGCGCCTCACCGGTGTCCGAGATTTGGTCACCGAAACTATTACACCACATGCCACTTGTAATGTAATTAATGCATGACATTGACCGAGCCGGCTTGACACAGGACGATGTCTGTGCTACTTGCGATGATGATTCAACAAACATGCCACTATCGGCAATCTATCTTCCATAAACAGTGACAAACTCATAACACCGGCCAAGCCCGCGCTTATTGCGATCTGATGCCGGGGTAAGATGGCCTGTTCCAAGATCATAGCGATTCACAGAAGCCAATACCCGCCGCTGCAAAGAATGGGAATGTCACAGCGACCCAGCTTACGGGACTCTTGCTGCAGCGTCGTGGCTTGAATGGCCGATGAGATCCAAGGATTAACGCAAGCATCAGGTTCAGGACAATCTCCTCAAGGGGCCTTGGGATTTCCTTTTCTAGAATCGAGATAGCGCCCGCTCGCGGGGCTGTATACATCGGATGTAGCTTACCAAGGCATCGGAAGCGAACATTGAGGCACTAGATAATTTTATCTCTGACGCCAAGACAGTTGACTTAATAGACAATGTGCGCCAAAGGATCAAGAGCCTCGTGGGCCTGGATATTCAGCGGTCATTTTTCCGTTATCATGCTAGACGGCGGACAGGCTAACTGGGCCGCAGTATCAAACTGACGTCGAAACAGAATTCCATCAACCACAGGACGAGAAAATATAAGATTGCGGGCCGCGTCTGACCCTTGGCAATGATGTTTGCAGGGAGTATCATTGAAGACCTTGTCTCTTGAGGCTTTTGGTCAGCGTTGGCAATCTGTCGTGCTAAGCGAGCAGATGAAGCCTCGAGTTGAAAAGTCTTGGTGAAGCATGGGAGCTGCCATCATGGTCGTGGTTCATGGCATGATAGATGCCCCTCAGGGTTTGCCGTGTAAGCCGTAGGATGTTTCAGTCAGCCCATTTTCATCCACTCTGAGCAGGATTGCGTCAGAGGAACAATGAGACGAGAAACTAGAAACCGATGCGTTTATCCAAACATCAAACAGGAAACATTGAATCGTCTGGAAACGTGTCGCGGCGGTGCTGAACTTGAGCTCGTGATACGAGAGTGAGCGTTCCTAACCGGATGCCTCTGAGAGAATGAGTCGTTGGCGGCAATGCTGCGGGGCATTGAGTGGCTACGAAGCGCTCAAATGCCCACATTCTTGCAGCAGGTCTGGCCGTTGACAGCCAGTCCACCCCTGAAGAGTTGAGCAGAAAACTTGGAGTATCCCATTCGCCATTCCAAAAGGGGGCCTGGGTGGTCCCCTGAGCAAGGGCCAGCAAGTGGCTGGTTTCAGAAGCATTGGGTTACCAGGATCTGCCAACAAGCAGCCACTAAATAATGTTCCTTTTCCGCCGGAGGCCTAATTCTGAGATCTGCTAGCGACATCTCTCACCCAATTGGCCATATCTTGCGAAGCCACGCTGTTGCTGGGAGTGCCCCTGCCGTGCTGCAGCTGATGGAGGCTTTTTAAAGTCGGGTGCTAAAGTTCCTAGGTACTCGTGTAAGATGCGTTTAAACGCTCGTGGTTCGTTGTGCCATGAATCTTGTAGCTCTTGTATTGTAAGACATCGGAAGACGTAGTGTAATGCGCGGTCCAACCAGATCGATATGAATTGAATTCTCGGCTATACGGCTCATAGCTGGAAACAGCACGCCCCGCAGGGGGTCCCAGTTATATCCATCCATCCAGACTCTGCGGTGCCGAGCCTAGAAGTCTGGTCTTGTCTGTAAGGGGCTCCTTGTGATAGAGACGAACAGGGAGGGGATCCTCTGCCATGCCATGCCCTGCTGTACGAGTAAATTCTTTCAGCGCCAAGACAAGTAGTACATGACCTTTTCGGCCAAGTAGAATGCTGATTGCCCACTGTATCTGGGCTGACAAGTGAAGTGGCCGTTTACAATACATATTATCACAACGTCCGCTCCACTGGGCTCTGTGTATTGCCTCTTCATTCCTCTTGGTCTTTGCTTCCTGCCGTTTACGGTGGTTTTTTCCCTGTTTTATTTTTATCTTTTTCTTCTTTCGTCCTCGGGACTATTGAAACATTCTTCGCTGAGGCTGGCCACTCTCTAAGTCAATCCGCCTGACAATACTGCTTTCGTCACTGTCGACCACTGTTCACCAGTTCACGCCCTCGTGTTTGTCTCTGCTTGGGGTTTCGGGTCTCAGAACAGGTTGAAACATTGAAAAACAACCGTTTCCCGCTTGGCTACGATTGTCATTGTTTCGTCCGGTCGATCATTCATTTACCTATTGTCTTGTGTGTTGCGACAAAACGCCTCAATTACTTCACTCACTATCATTCTATTCTCACCGCACTCGCGCAAGCGCCCAAACGTCAACGTCGATCGTCTTAAACGCCTGCCTTTATCGATAGGCCTGTGTCTCAATTCGCCCTTGCCTAAGCTTACCTGAAATTGAGCTTCACTTACTCGCGGCAATTGACATCGACCCGTTCTTTACCGCAGATCCAAATCCGCCCAAAGTTGGAGATCATCAGCCTGGCCTGCTTTCTTTCCAACTGCAACTGAGAACATTATCATCACCTTGTGGACGAGGTGAAGACGACTTGGACCTACGTCATTGAGAACTGTCTTGTAGTGACAGTGATCAATACCCAAGTCAGCCTTGTTCTGTGCGGATTGTTTATTGTTCTTCGCTGTCCCTTCGCTCTTGGCCTTTGTGCTGCGCTACATTGTGTGTTGAACACACCTTAACCGGCACCAAATCTCCCAAGTCACCACTGAGCATCTCGCTCGCCGATCACGATTTATCGACACAAGCGCCAAGTCAATCCTTTGTTTACCATCATGTTCTGACACCAAAGAGCGAACACAAGGAGGAACAGCATACACTTACTTTCTTTAAAACCACCACTGACCTCTTGACTCTTATTCGGAGCCTATTGTTCGTCGCACAATTATATTGTCCATCATTCATTCACAGCGACCTGCGACTTCTCCCTCATCATTCGTCTAAAGACCCCGGATAAAAAGAAGCCGACTCTCATTTTTTACTACACTTGCTCCCAGAGAGCAACTACTTAACAAGATGGATTTCACACGGCGCAGGATCGCCGATATCAGCTCATACATACCAACATCGACCCTCAGATCTCGTGCCGAAGCGGCTCCTGCAGATGCTGAGGCAACTCCAAACTATCACTCAAATCTCGATGGTGTAAACCAACCTATGAATTTACTTTTTAAAGATGCTTTGTGGTGGACCTTGGGCATCATGGCCCTTGTCGTTCTGTCCATCAGGATAATTGAGATCCTTTGGATGAGACTCCGCCAGGTGTCGGCCATGAACGTGTCCGGCTCCAAACAAACGTACTGGAGGATATCTCAATGGAGCTGGATGCCAAACGTCAAGAAGAACCTCATCTACGCTCCTCTGTGGAACAAGCGTCACAACCGAGAGTTCAAGCTGTCCTCTGCTATTAGCATGGGAACCCTTCCTTCGCGACTTCATTTCATCATCCTCTTCATCTACCTGGGCAGCAACTTTGCCTATATGTTCGTCCTCAACTGGCACAATGAGAACAAGCTTGCTTTTTGTGCCGAATTACGAGGTCGCTCAGGAACCTTGGCCCTCGTCAACATGGTGCCCTTGATCATTTTCGCTGGGCGCAACAACATTCTCATTGGCCTGCTCAAGATCAGCTTCGATACCTACAATCTTCTACATCGATGGATGGGTCGTATTGTGGTCCTTGAGTCCATTATTCACACTATTGCCTGGCTCATTGTTGCCGTGGACGACTTGGGCTGGGATGGTGTTGGCCATAAACTTTCCCATGGGCTTTTTGAAGGCTCGGGAGCCGTTGGCACGGTTGCTATGACCCTCCTCCTTCTGCTTTCCGTTTCGCCTTTGCGCCATGCCTTTTATGAGACTTTCCTCAACGTTCACATTGTCCTAGCCTTCGTTGCCTTCGTCGCTACCTGGGTTCACTGTGCTTCGTCTGCACTTAAAGGTGGCCTTCCTCAACTTCCCTGGATCATGGCCATCATGGCTATCTGGTTCGCCGACCGCCTCGCTCGTATGCTCCGGATTGTTTTTGTCAACTGGTCTTCCAAGGGGTGGACTGATGCGGTGTGCGAGGCTATGCCCGGCAACGTCACTCGAGTCACCCTCCACTTACCGCGATATGTCGATATTGAGCCTGGCACCCACGCGTACCTGCGCTTTTGGGGCCTTAGTGCTTGGGAGAGCCATCCTTTCTCTATCTGCTGGGTCAATCATGTTCGCGATAACAGCTTGCCAATTGCGGAAAAGGAGCCTCTCCACGCAGTCGACAAGTCAACCATGACCACTACAGTCTCTTTCCTGATTGGAGCCCAGACAGGCTTCACTAAGAAGCTCTTCGACCGTGCCTCCAGATGCCCGCGAGGTCTCCGTATCAAGGCTGCGATGGAAGGTCCCTACGCTGGACATAACAGCCTCGACTCATATGGCCATGCAGTCCTTTTTGCAGGCTCGACTGGAATTACCCACCAAATCTCCTACATCCGCCATCTCCTCGAAGGATATAACCAGGGCACTACTGCTGCTCGACGCATCACACTTGTCTGGATCATCCGCGAATACGAATCTCTCGAGTGGGTGCGGCCATACATGGATACGATTCTTCGTATTCCTAACCGGAAAGACATACTCCGCATCCAGATTTTCGTCACCCGTCCTCAGAACCCACGCGATATTGTCAGTGCTAGCGCCACGGTGCGCATGTTCCCAGGACGGCCAAATGTTCCCCTTATCCTGGCCCGAGAGGTGCAAGAGCAGATGGGTGCCATGTGTGTCACAGTGTGTGGCCCTGGTGCTCTTGCTGATGATGTTCGAGGTGCTGCCCGAGCAGTGCAGGGCTCAACCGTGGTGGACTTTGTAGAAGAAAGCTTTACGTGGTAAACTGCGACCAGAGTGGCGGAAGTAATCAAGAGGTTTCCATTCGAACTGTACATACTTACGGCAAGGGGGGGTTATTTCATGCAGGGAGGTATCTCAGGGACGATCATAGCGTAAAAGCGTTTCCATAAGGCGATCATATTATTAGAGATCTTAGAGAACTATCACTGGGACGATCCACACTCTTTTGTTTGTATAAGTGACATGTTTATATAAACCACGACGTGGGAACACCATGTACTTATTACCATACCTAGTCCCTTAATTGATGAGGCTCAGGCAGCCCAGCCCCTGTGATTTCCACCCAACTAAAGTTGTCAGATCTAATGTTAAATAAGTGTGGAGCACTGAGTTGCTCTTTCCTTCCCGTCCCTGCCTGCCCCGCACACTTTCTCAGGGCAGGTGGGTCTTGTACGTTTAATGGAAAGAAGTACGTACCCACCTCACGTCGCGTTTTCCATTACCAAGGACGCGATTTGTACCACAACTTAATCTTTTTAACTTCAACAAAGCGCTAAGATATACTAATATTGCCTGTTACAAGTCCTCAACGGATTCAAGAGCATAATAAAATTGGACTCTAATTTGATGCCCACGTTTGTACGACTCGCCCTATCGCACGAATGCCTACACGAACACATGATTCCCCGTCGCATTCGCTATCACCGTCGTCGTCCTCACGAGTGACACCAGCGCATCGAGATTTGGCCGTCAGAGAACGGGAGTCAAGTCGCTCCGCATCTGGAGCCAAGAGGAAGCGAGCGGATACAAGAAACGGGGAACCTGCGAGCCATCGAAGACGAACTGTTGAACCTACAGCGGGCAGCGACGACGACGACGACGATGACGATGTCTACGATCCTGACCAGCCACTGGAGGAGCGCCGCAGAGTTCAGCAGGGCTTCAGAGATTTACTTCGCGATGTGACAGAGAACACTGAAGAATACCTACAAGGAGACTCGCGGGGGCTTCACGAGGCCATTCTCCGGGCCGATGAACTATCGAAGAAAGTGCGACAGACAACAGAAGCGACAATTGACTCACGGTTACTTGTTAGCACTACCGATTTATCTTACAGGAAGACTTTGAGACTCACACAAGGCAGCCTTTCTCAAGGCATCGACGTTGATGAGTTCGTTTCAAAATGCATCACATATATGAGACAAGGTCGAGGAATTATGGACGATGATGCACCGGAACTCTCGAGCACCCAACGTCAAAGAAGAAGGACCACAAGAGGGGATGAAGATGGTGAGGACGACATCGGGGATGAGGGCGATATGATGAACTGGCCTCATCTTGGCCGTTTTGCCGGCTTACCTTACATCCGGCGTCCCGCCCTCCCCGGGTTCCTCCTTGGACCTCTGTCAGTCGAGAAGAAGGCTCGCAAGATCACAAAGCGAAGTGCCCCGTTCAGACCTAACAATCTGACTGAGACGCGCCCCGAAGTGCTCAATGTCGAGGATCTGGCCAAGAAGGAGAACGACCTCACCGCAATTTGCGGTAAGATTCTCCATCAATTACAAACTCTTCAGGCGAACATTCAAGAAACTGTGGCGGACCTGATTGATGAAAATATGGACGACGAGGAACAGAACAGAATCATGCATCAGCATGGTCTCCGGAGTACCGGTGGTATTGATTTGATGCGGTTTGTTGTGAATCCCAAATCATTCGGTCAAACCATCGAGAACATGTTTTACGTCAGCTTTCTTGTAAGAGACGGCAGAGTGAAGATCGATTTTGACGAATTCGATTTACCAGCGCTTGGTCAGTTAATCATGGTCGGGACGTCTAAAATTTACTAACTTAATCTTCAGAAATCATAGACAGAGATGTTGAGGCAGAGGAAGAGGAACCGACACGCCACGGGGCGGCGAAACACCAAGCCATTCTTTCCATGGACATGGAGACCTGGCAGGACATCATAGACACTTTCGGCCTCAAGGAGCCCATGATTGCGCACAGAAAGGACGTGACGACTTCGGGACCTGGTGCGCGGGGTTGGTATAGCTGAGCGGGAAAGGGGAAGCATGAACAAACATGTCGAGTCTTTAAAATCTATGATTCATTGTCTTGAAACACACGAGATACCCTTGTTTGCATGTGAGATACCTATCAGGCGGTGATTCGGAGATGGCCAACATGGTGTTGTGCACAGGCCCTGAGCAAACAACCTCTTTTCTTTGTTCCTACTCTTCCCTGACCTCTGTTGTCGGCGTAGTGATGAAAAAGGGTCGATTGGCGGCGATGAGCCTTTGTGCAAGACTGCCTGTGCATGGCAAAAGGGGTGCGCCTCGTTTTATTTCTGGCACATTGGAGATAATGTCAAAGAGAAGCACCCGATTCAAAGAATCTGAATAGACAAAGGCATCCGCGCAGCTGAAAGTCGTCTGTTTAACCGCTTCATAACTCACACCCACTCACTCCTCGTGTCTTCTGATCAAGTTCCAGGCGACTGTTCCAATAATTCTTTTCACTTTGTCGTTGGGCAAAATCAGTTGCTCTTGTCCTGTTCACAGAGGAATCGTGCGGCAACTTTTTCACACATATATATTCAAATCCACCTTTGTTCAATACCCAGGCAGAAAAGATGTCGGTTATTGACCCCTTCAACGAATTTGCAAAGGACCTTGAGGTTCGAATGAACGAAAAAGCTGAGAAATGGGAGTTCAAGAAGGATTCGCTCGCATCAAATCTAGATCATTTTTACGAACAAAGATGTCACAGAGAGTCTCCCAATTTTCCAAAGAAGGCATTGGAGGTCCTGCAAGACTTGAACAAGAAGGCCCATAGTTCGCTTGATGACCTGCTCAAGACGGTCTATGACACACAACGGAGTCAGGACGATGAGTCCAAGCGCCAGATCAAAGATCTGGTGCGAAATATCGATAATCATTATCAAAGTCAGAAGTCACGAAATGATCGCGAAAGGCGTCTTACAAGCCAGCGGTTGCTCGTGATGGAGCAGAGCAAGTCCCCTACCGCTGCATCAAGCCCTGAGCAAGTGCCAGAAGAGACACAACAAAAACATGTCGCGTTCGCGTTAAACCACCCTGGTAGTGCTGGGAAGGCTTTCGAGCTTGCCAAAGCTACTCAAAGGCTCGAACGTCGTAGACATGCCCTTGCGCAGCCAAGATCCACTCGTCTTCCTCGGAGCAAGAAGGCTATGCGCAAGGAAAGGTCTTTGAAACACATAGCCGATTACCCAGCTCTTTCTAGGAAGATCTCATCGCTCAAACGAACGCAAAACTATGGTAGTCCGACAGGAGTGGCTCACCGCACTTCCATCACGCCCCATTGGCTGCCCACAGCGTGTCGGCTCCAAAAGCGGCACACAGCAAGCTCTCTATCGCAAGTGTGCAATGCCTCCCAGTTGCAACGCGACGAGCCTGACGGCGTTCCTAAGAAGATATACGCGAAACCTTCTTTAGAGCAGGAGCTTGGCGCTGCTCACGGTTACGTGCACCCTCACATAGACGATATACTTCTCATAGACGATGCACTTCTTCTTGGACAACAACTCAATGAGGATTACAGTAACATAGTCTCTCTGCCTGACGCTAAAGACTCAGATGGCGGGGATACCGAAGGCGAAGAAATGGCCGAAGGGGGAAAAGAGCAACAGAAGCAGAATGAGGACAATCCCTTGAGAGAAGCTGTGGTTCAAACCAAGGAGAACGATGAACCCAACGACAAGCTTGAAACAAAGACCGGTGGTGCTGAGCATCAGAATCCTCATCATCAAGAGGAAACTCACTCACTGGAACAACTCGACCAATCTGGGCCTCATGGCACCATGCTTTCACCCGAAATGGGACTGCGGCTTTGGGAAGGCCTCATGTATAACATAAGCCGCATCAATTCTGCAATGTCAAGATGCAAAGACCTGGAAATGCGTTTCAACGGCTACAAAACGCAACACAATGAGAGTTCTGTGAACAAGCTAATTGATATCTGCGTACCAGCAACGAAGGGTCAATATCATGAATTCGAGTTGACCATCGGGTTCTTAAAACAGATCTTGTACCATTTGTTCGAAGTCAATCCTCCCCTAGACGCAGCACAGGTAGCGAAAGCCTTTGACTCTATGTATGGATGCTCAGAAACCTCTGCAAGCATGGAAAGCTCTCAATGTTTGTCAACTGCGCCTTGCAGTGGATCTGGCGATAGCACCCTTAACAATAACGACGAGGGTGGTGATAATCTAGAGGTGAACGCATGTAGTGAACCGAAGCGTCCTGTTTTTCCATGCATCAAGTCAGCGGCTAGGTCGACACCTGGAAACTCCCCGGAACTAATTGATTGGAAGCCAGTCATCAAGCAAATCAGAGAGTCCCCGGGTAGAGGTCTTTACCTGAGTCCTCCTTCGTCCGCCGGAACGCAATATTACAGGACCTCGAAAGCCAGCCCGAGAGGCGGAGACTCACCCAGGAAGTGGAGTAGTCCTCAGGAGGAGAATACTCCAAAGAAGGACAGTGATGTTGAGAAGGAGGTTGTTTCTGAAGATGAGAAAGGAAACAGCCCTGTCAGAGACATGTCGAGCAACGGCACCGGTGAATCCTCAGACATACCTGAAGCATCTCGAGAGGCAAACACGCCAGCACCAGGGAACAGTGATGGCGGCGATGATCCAGATCCAGATCCTACTAAAGGGGTTACTACCGATAATGAGTCGTCACATCCCCCTTCGCAATCATTAACGAAGGACTCTGGTATCTTCCAATGGTTGAAAGTGGAGTTTGCGGCCTTGCTATTACTGGTAGGGCAGTTCATAGCCAACCAAGCCGAGGCTTGGGTTCGTGTCGTCGAGTTTGTATATCAACTTCTCTCCTACTCTTATCGCCGTCTCGTCAGGCGTAGGAACGTGGATAACGACGGCAAAGCGCTGATATTCCCTAACCTACCCAGGCATGAGGCCGTTTATTTTGTCCTCAACCATGTTTTCTTCCTGTTTACTCTTGGTTGGTGGTTAGAGGTAGGCCAGGAAAGAGAACTGTGGTATATTGCCAACGGCCAGACGAGGGAGCATATGTTGATATACATGACGATGCAACCGCGGTGGATATCAACTGCCTTCTCTTATTATACGAGCTCGTTGGAGTGCCTCTTTGGACTTCCGGGAGTATTGCTATCCTGGATGTTGGCCGTTCTGACTGTCATTATGCAGCATCTCGGTTCATTGTGGGCGTCTCTAAGAGAGGTCGGAAGTGCAATCTAATCAGGACATACAACCTGGCAGGTAGCCGATGGCAAGGATAGTGGATTTTGCTGGATTATTGGTTTTGTTTGTTGACAGTCGCTTTCGATTATATATATGTGGTTACTTTTGCACGGTTCTTAGCCGTCGTGTTTGGTTGAGGCTTGCACCTAATGTTCTCTTGGTTTTAAGAGTTGAGTCTACATTGTCGATACTGTAAAATATAATATTATCTTGAGTCTTGAATTATCTACGTTTATGACTATAATATCCGCACTGACAAGCTTCCATATAATCCAGCTAGATTCGTTTATTTAACGACTACGACGGATTTAACAAGGGTTTGCAGACAAAATACGCCTTCAAAGTCCTGTATGAAGCCGAGGTTCAGATACCGGGCTCTCGGGGCGACGTAATATGCCGGATGGATTAAGCTAAAGAATATCTATTTGGAATCACTCAATTGTGAGCTGCTGGCAACTTTACAGTATTAACCGTATTAACCGTATTAACCCCCTCCTAGACTATTTGTCAGGGGAAGCTACCTTAGCTAAGTACGTAGTAGATAAGAGAATTGAATGGGTTGTGCTTTATCCCGGCATAAATGCAGCGTATTACAGAGCAATACAGAAGTAAGATATTTCAAATATTCACATGTTGCTCCATTGTATCCACTTTTAATGCATTGAATTAGCAGCCCCGATTTCCAGGGTTTTGGGCCAACTCAGACAGAGTCGGCCGATTGCATGGATCGGAATGTTGATGTCATTGAAGAAATGCAAAGACCAATTCTCAACTGGCATATTACCAATTCAAGTTCAAGCTCCGCCTCGACATTGGATGACAATTACTCGTGATGATACGTTCAACGTCCCGAATTCAATACTTAAACTTCAAAGCATCCAGATTATTCCAGCAACAACAGCAACAGCAACAAAGATTCTTTCTGCTTTCACGTGCATTTAAACAGACTTTAACACACGACTTCAACGTCATACATCTTCAACCTCGTATTGCGACATCATCAATCAAAAGACCCAAACTCACAACCTCTTTCACTCTACCAGCACAGAAACATAAATTCAGTGCACAATTAGAAACGTCCAACTCAGCAGAAATGTCGTCCAAACTCATCCCTTCAGACCCTGATCATGTCATGGTCATTCGCAATGTCACCCCCAACATTGCCACTTTCTCAGTCCCCTTTTCACGATTTGGAAAGGTCAAGATTGGTGGCCGAGGCACTCTTGGTATGTATGCTCTTCTGTCCATAAGTAATTCCGCGCAATACTGACATTCAACAGTCAAGCTCACTTCTGGAGGCCTTGCCATCTTCTCACCAGTCGCACTCACCAAAGCCACTCAAGCCAAAGTCATGGAGATGGGAGGCGATGTCCGCTATATCGTTGCTCTGGACTATGAGCACCACATCTTCATTTCTGAGTGGAAAAAGGAGTATCCCTCAGCCAAGATCATCGGCCCAGAGGGTCTGCCAGAAAAGCGCGCCAAGCAGACCGATGATCCCAAGATCAACGACGATGAGTTTGCTGTCGTCTTCAAGAAAGAAAACAAGCGGGAAATCAAGATTGATCCCGAGTTTGATGCCGATTTCGACTATGAATACGTTGACGGCCACGCCAACCTTGAGATTGTCTTCTTCTACAAGCCCGAGCAAGTCCTCATTCAGGCCGACCTTCTCTTCAACCTCCCCCCCACTGAGCAGTACAGTAAGGTACCCGAATCAGAATTGCCCGCAGATGGAGCTGTTGGCAAGCTCTTCGCCTGTGTCCAGAACCCTCGTGGCGACACCAAGTGGTTACAGCGATTCAACTGGTATCTTCTCGCCAAGAACCGCGAGAGTTTCAACGACAGTATGGCGCAAATCGCCAAGTGGGACTTTCATACCATGATTCCTTGCCATGGAGATGTTCTGGAGGGGGATGGAAAGGATGTGTTTATGAAGGTGTTTGACTGGCATCTCCAGGGACACAAATAGATGTAAAGAATGATGAGACGATGACAATGTGCGAGTAGAGCATTAGGGAGTTGGGGAGTGGTATACAAAAATTTGTAGTAATTTGTAAAAATAGTGTAGATATGTCTGAGAATTTCTTTGATTAATTGACCGACTAGTCTAATAGTCTTCCAAGGATGAACCACTTATTACCTCTTAAAAATTGTAATATTGTATTATGGCCTTAAGAGATTATAATGATTTAAAATTTCGAACATTGACTAAACATTGGGTATAATACTATTTTGAAGCCGAAACGCCAGTATTGCAACAATCATCCATGCATTTACTTTTACCCTTATCCAGTGTACGCCTTTTGATACCTTCGCTTTGATCGGTCACGATCTCATCAGGCATAAACTCTCGATTGCGCGACGACTCCGCAGCAGAAATGTTCGACTGCTTCCTCACTCTTTCTAAATGTGTAGCCTCAGGGGTAGCTGATGGTTGTGTCGATTGCTTCCTTGAGGGAGGCTCAGGCTCCATCTCTACGAATCCAAACATAGGACGCTCAGCACCGATCAGTTCTCCTCCCTTGTGAACATAATCGCGAAGTTTCCCGAGTATAGCAAACTCAACCTTGAGCTTTACCGAGTAGGCCACTGCCTTTATGCCCTGTTGCCAAAGGAAATTGTTGGTAAAGCCTACAGCGAGGAGGGTGACGTCGACTAGCACGATTCCCACGTTTATAGCAAACAGGTGCCAGATTATTCGAGTGGTTTGGTTTTCGGCTTCTTTTCTCTTGATGATCTCCATCGTTTTCCAAATGTAAAGACCTGAAAGTAGGAAATTTTGCGCACAAAAGAATGCCAACTGAACTTTTTGAACCTTGATGAAGGCACCGTTGCGGTCGAGTTTTTGTTGCGTGCTGATAGCAAACAAGAGAACCGTAACTGTTGTGTGCCATATAATAGCATTGAGGATAATCATCCATTTGGTAACCTTCAAAATGGTGACGTTTTTGACGAGTAAGTTGAGTCGAGAATATAGAACAAGAGCTTGGCCGGTAGTCAGGAGTATCCAGCCAATGTCGTTTATGAGCAGGTCTGCAACGTCTCCTATAACATCGAAATAGCGAACCAGCCAACCAGTGGCATACGGCAGTACACCGATAGAAGCCACGGCGAGACTCCATGAGAAGAGGTCGTTGTGCCGCCTGGATGATGTCAAGATGAGGAGAAGCAGCTCGATGCCATTGTACAGCGAGATAGTGGCACATGTCTATAAGGCGTGTTAAATGGGGATTCGAGTATCGAATTCGACAGGGGTCGTACTATGACTATCATGGCCTCTGGGGTATATCTCCCCGACGACGTAAACTTGGAGGCGGCATCGGTGCGTCTCGAAAGAGACATGTTGGCCTACGTTGGGCGAGAAGATGCCGTGTCATGAGTTGAAGCAGCAGAGAACAATGCTCTAGAGAGAGAAAGCATCGAGTCCGAGAGTTGAAGGCTGTTGAGATTAGTTATGACGCCTCAAAAGGCCGCACGTGATAGGTGCTCTTAGACCTGCAGGCGAAGGAGGCTCAGATGCTAGGCTTGCTAGGCCAGGATACGAAATACCTAAAGTTTTGGCGCATGTCCCCGAGGGAAATTCATTGATTGATGGGGATGATAGTGTGGCTTCTAGGTTTGGGCTATGCGCTTTGAAGTTTGGGATGCGCCTAGCTATGCAATATCCATGTCCGCTATGGGACAGGACCGCGGATCGGGATAAGTGCCGCAGAGGGTCGCTACGTAGTATCAAGTGAACCAATGTTGGGGACTGGTCAATTTAGTCGGCCGACGGGATGGATAAGAAAGTCTGGGGTCATTAGGCATCGACAATTGCCATTGCCATGTCTATGTTTGGCTATTCAGGGGCACTTATAGCTCGACTAGCAATGCTACGTAGTATCTTGGTTGATATTCGGGAAATGAGTTTTTACATATGCCGCTGCTTGGTTGATGAAGATACGAGAAAATTTCATCAATAGTCATTACAGACTGGGAAGTGAGTAGCCAGATAAAAAGCAAAAATGTGTCAATCCTCAGTCCGGTAGTAGAGGTTCCGAACAAGCAGTAACGGCAGCTGATCAAGGAACTAGCCACAAGAGGGAATTCGTAGACAAGCAAACAAAAACTTGGTTAGTGGTTCAACCAATGATTGAGTAGGAAAGTACGTGGATAAGAGAAACATTTCTGTTTCGGTTGCTGATCGAGGAGGTAAATGAATCTTGGCTTTGACGAACAGTCAAACTCGGAGCGCTAGGTAGAGTGCCTAGGAGTGCTAACCTACCTAAGCTGAGGTAGACCTTATGACGGGGCTTAGGGGTCCCATGTGATCTTCTCCACAGTGGGTGAGCTGAGCTGAGCTGTGAACGTCACCCTACCTTATCTTATCGCACCTCAACACCAGCCACTACCTTCGTGCCTATGTTCATATCGCAACTCAAAACCTCCAACACTAACAATAGCTCTCATTCTCTCCACGCATCATCCACCTCCCTTCTATTTCCACAGAATGACATAGCGCATCATGTCTGAGTACGGGCGCATGGACCCGTTCTCCTTTGCGGGTTCCAAGGATGTCCACCATCCTGTGACCATTCGCATGTAATGCCCCTCGAACCCCTCCATCATGGGGATGCTGAAGCTGACTTCTGGCAGAATGAACCTTGAGGGCGACGAACCTCCCTTCAAGTACTCAACTCTTCTCGAGCGACCCGACTTGCGCCACGTTGGCTCTAACATTAGGTGCGCGACATTGCCCACTACCGTGACCTTCGCGATATGCTAACAAGAGCTGTTAGCCCATACTCTGACCTTTATGTCACAGTCCAGATTTGGGCTGGATCAAAACCCTTGACTGTCCCTGTTCAGACCGCCTATAAACCTTTTCGATCCGAGCGAAAGTACGATATCCCCCGAATGTGATAGCGCATATATTGACCAAGTTAGATGGAATGAGTGGCTACAGTTGCCTATCACATACGACTCCTTACCAGCAAACTCATGTTTGGCTATAACAGTATGGGATTTATCACCGACTGGAGGTAAAGGGGCAATAGGCCATGCTATTCCGTTTGGCGGTACGACGCTGCCCATGTTTGACGAGGACAACCAAGTACAGAAGGGAAGACAAAAGTGTCTTATTCACCGATACCAGAATGCAGACGGTACCGATAGCTCAACAACACCCGCACTGGTTTCGACGAAAAAGAAACCAACGCGAAAAGGGCAAGTCCCTCCACTAGATAAGGATGCAGAGGAGTTAGAACGAATGGAGACCTTGTTCAAGAAACACGAGATGGGCGAGATACCTCGGGTTGACTGGCTGGATCAGATGGTCTTTCGAAGCTTTGAGAAACGAGGCCTACAAGCTGCCAAATCGTCAATGAAAATGCTCCAGAGACAACGAGCTATCAACGGGGAGAACGATCCAGACAATCAAGATGGTGAAAACAAGGATGGACGTCCTGGACAGTCGACATTCTTACTGAACGTGGAGTTACCACGTTTCGATTTTCCTGTCGTCTTCGCTGACCACGAATACGATCCGCCCCCGATTTCAGCTCTCCAGAACCTGTCGGTTTCGCAGGCAAGCCTCGCAAATCGTCAGCCAGAGGTTCATTACGGCCCAGGCATCAATGCCGTGGGTGAGAGCTCTTCGGCACCAGGGAGACGGCTTATCAAAGTTTATGATCCTGAAGCTGGATACAGGGACAACCCTGCAGAGGCCAAGCATCGAAGACTATTCAGAAGCTCGTATAGGCACGGCATCATCGATAAGAACTTGAAACCGAATGCCAAGGTTCGAGATGAACTAAATCTCATCATGTCATATTCTCCAACTCATGTCCTCACCCCAGAGGAGGCAGATCTGGTATGGAAGTTCCGTTATCATCTGACCAGAGACAAGAGGGCTTTGACAAAGTTTGTCAAATCTGTCAATTGGAGAGATCAGGGTGAAGCGAGACAAGCTATTCAAGTTCTCAGTCGCTGGACTGCGATTGATGTTGACGATGCGCTCGAGCTCCTCGGGCCATCCTTCGATAACTCTGCTGTGCGGTCATATGCCGTAGACAGATTGCGAAAAGCTGACGACCAGGAACTCCTGCTTTATCTTCTTCAACTTGTTCAAGCGCTCAAGTATGAGCACATATCAGCAGATTCAGACGAGGAAAGTAGCCACGATTCATCCCTGGCCCGTTTCTTGATCCAGCGTGCAGCAGCCAACTTTCTACTCGGCAACTATTTCCACTGGTATCTTATGGTTGAATGCGATGACGCCAGCCCTGAGCAAGGTATTGATAACCGCAACATCTACCGCAAGGTCGCATACGACTTCATGGCCGAGCTTGTCAAACAGCCTGATGGCCAGGAAACGCGCAAGACTCTTTTGCGACAAGCAGAGTTGGTTGCCATTCTCTCAAGGATTGCTCAAGAGGTCAAAACCTCGAATGAATCAATTCCAAAGAAGGTCGACCGAGTTAAGCACTTTCTGGCCGATCCCAAGAACGAGTTGTTATCATTCGATCCGCCTTTACCAATGCCACTTGACCCTTCAGTCTTGATTACGAGCATCATACCAGATCAAACAGTCGTCTTCAAGTCTTCACTCAACCCGTTCAAGTGCACCTTCAAGACAACAACCGGGAGCTCATATGCCATTATCTTCAAGCTGGGTGATGATCTTAGACAGGATCAGCTTGTTATCCAGATCATCACTCTTATGGATCAACTGCTGCAGAAAGAGAACCTTGATCTCAAGCTGTCACCCTACAAGATCTTGGCGACGAGTACTTCTGCGGGCGCTTCGCAGTTTGTACAATCTCAAAGCTTGTCAAGTATCGCCGGCAAATTCAAAAACAACCCAGCTTTGGCCTACCTCAAGAACCACAACCCGGATGACAATCAACCCCTTGGAGTCCGACAAGAAACCTTAGACACATATGTTAGGTCTTGTGCAGGATACTGTGTCATCACTTATATCCTCGGCGTTGGCGATCGTCACCTGGAAAATCTGCTTCTTGCACCTGACGGCCACTTCTTCCATGCCGACTTCGGCTACATTCTTGGCAGAGATCCCAAGCCTTTTGCGCCTCTGATGAAGCTGTCCAAGGAGATGGTGGATTGCATGGGTGGCGTGAACTCAGAGTATTACAAGCAGTTCAAACAGTACTGCTTCCTTGCGTTCACGGCACTACGCAAAAACTCAAATCTTATTCTCAATCTCTTTAGTCTCATGGTCGATGCCAATATCCCTGATATCCGACTTGAGCCTGATAAGGCAGTGCTCAAGGTCCGAGACCGTTTCCACTTGGAGTTGAGTGAAGAAGAGGCACTGAGTCACTTTGACCGGATCATTGAGGAAGCCCAAACATCTTACGCTCCTGTTGTCATTGACAAGCTGCATGAGTGGGCACAGGCTTTCAGGGCATAGAATGATTGCTGATGACATGGGGGAAAGGAGTTGGGGCGTTTATATAATATATATTAGCTTTGGCCAGGCAATAAACCAGTGATCTGATTATTCACGTTTGTCATTTATTTCGTTAAGGACTCGAGTCTGTTATACCCCTCACATGGTTTAAGGAGTGGCTACCTATCACACTTTGTAGTGATCTGCTTCAACTGTCCATGTGGGACCGGCCGAACCAGTAAATCACGATGTACGTTATACTATTACTCACAGCTTTTTATCCCCCTTATGTCTCGCCAAATGTGAAGATACCCTTACCCTTACGGAATCCCTCAAGACCCTGCTGTACAGCCTTGCGCAGAGTCTCCTCCTCTGTCTCCCAATCCCACTTAACCTCCTCGATAGGGACGTCGCGGAACTGGCCAGATCGAATGAGCTGGAGAATATCGTTGATGGCATGTCTCCTGCCGGTAGGGTCCTCCTCATTGAGTCTGCTGAGCCAGAAACCAAGGAAACGGACGTCCTTGAAGATAAGAAGAGCAAGGGGTAGTGAGACTGGCTGCTTAGCCATGCCACCGTAAGAGACCATAGTAGCGCCTTTGCCAAGAGATCGAGCGATGGTGGTTGCTGACTTGCCTCCAACACAATTAAGACCTAGACCGATCTCCTCACGGCCCTTGCGGGTGATATGTGCTAGTTGATCCTTCCACTGGGGAGCTAAGAACTGGGTTTCGGTAACGACAACATCTGCGCCTAGGTCTTGAAGCTCCTTCTTTAGAGCGTTTGTCGCCCTGGGTGTTTCGCGATCGCGAATAACGTTGATGCTCCTCAAGCCCCAGAGCTTTCCGAACTGGATGGCAGCTCGGCCAACACCAGAGTTGGCACCATTCTGAATGAACCATTGACCACTGCCAACTTCAAGGGGGCGCATGCCCATACCAGCTTGAAGCCCAGCACTGGGTCCATAATGTCGCAGGATGCGGTAGGCGGTGCATGGGTTGACGCTGACGGTCGCGACTTGTGTAGGCGTCAAGCCCTCCTTATCGATCTTGATGAACTTATCGGCCTCAGCAATGGCATGTGTCCTCCAAGTACCGAACTGGCCGATGGCGGGGATGACCCAGTCGCCTTTCTGTAGCGAGGAAGAGGGCGAGCCTGTAGAAACGACCTCGAAAACACCTTCGTTACCAGGAATGGCAGAAGGCTCAGCGGTGCCAATTAGGTTGGTAAAGGGAGGCATAGAGCCATAAACTCCCTGGACTGTGTTGACATCGGCGGGGTTGATGGGAGCAGCGAGAGTTCGGACGAGGACCGAATCCGAGGGAATGGAGGGGGAGACAGAGTGACTGTGAAGTCTATTGACAGTTGTCAGTTTTGTCTACGGTGAGATACCTAATGTACATACTTGAGAACTTTATCTGGGTCTCCAGGCTTTGAGAAGACAAGAGCCTTGGCCTGTGTGTAGCCATAAGGACCCGACTTATATCGTGCCGCGATTATGGGAAGTCGGGTCATATGTTGAACACTAAGCTTAGCCGAAGGCCTCGCAAGGCCCGAAGCGAGTGGCCTGAGGCGCAGACACTGCGAGCTAGCCATGATGAAGGTCTATATCAATTGTCAAACTGAAATAAGATACTTGATTGCCTTTCTTCAATTGACGTTGATGCTTGATTCAAGCTTGACGAAACAAGTTCAGCCGAGCTCGGTTCAAAACGATTCAAGCTCTATGACGTGAAATGTTGATAAGCCAATTAGATTATGCGAATAAACGGGACCGAATCCCAGAGAGACAGAAATTCTGGACCTTCTGAAGATTCTGGAGGGTCCAAGTCCAAATTCAAGGCCCAAATCGAATGTGGGTGGGATAGACTAACGGATCCAATCCCGCGTTTGTGGAACGCGGGGGCCTTCCTAGATCGGGAGATGTCGACGAGACTGGTAACACATGAGATAAGATTGGGAATAGCGGCAGAGTTTCTACAGCTTGAATAGGGAACGAGAATTGTCTGACTGCGCTAGCTTAGGCGGCTGTGAAAAGCTGAGGTACTTGACGATACTTCTCCTGTCATGACTCGCAATGGTGAGTAACGGCCCAAAGGGATCAGAGCCTTTTACTGCAGATGCTGGAGGTTGGCTAGGGGAGGCAAGAAAACTTAGGACCTCTATCCTAAGTGACAAAAAGACTTATTAGGTACATTTAGTATAGTTTTAGTAAATCTTAGACTTAGGTAGTTATTTTTGACACTATACCTTATGTCAGAAGTTTTCTTACTCCCCAAGGGTTGGATACCTAGACTAGTAAAAAGGTTGATCCTATAACTTGTTTCTCTTATGCACGATAAAGGGAGGATAGTCATAGTCCGATCTTGAATCGCTCTAACAAAAAAAAAGGCAAGACAATCGTGCCGTGAGTGAAACATGTTTTAGCCTCTGGAGCGGGTTCCTGGTCTCCCGTGGAAACGCAATCCAGTCCAACCAAGAATTTCTTTCTGCTGCTTGAGTCGTTGTGTTGAAACTGCGCCTCGAGTGCCAAGGTACTTGTGATGATAGATACGAGCTATCCGAAGAGTAATCTCGGCAAGAAGGCAGCTTGTGAATATGGTCAATGGTATAGCACTATTGACAGATAACAGCTCTTCACTACCTCAATTATCGACATGGACCGTTTGATATAGGCCCGGGTGAAACATGTTGGCGCCAACGTTTCTTCTCTCCATCGAATGGATGGTTCATCGAGTCTTGACACACGTCTGTGGCGTTAAGAAAAGGGTGTTTTCTCGGAGTTGGAAGGGAGAAAAGACAAGGGAGCAGTGAATATGATGAATTGACTTTCGAATCTTATGTGATCAAATCAGCGATCAATCGGTGCTTCTTTTTTTGAGTTTCCGATATATTACGAGTACATAGCAGACTTGATTCAACCTTATTGCTTCGGAATCGTTCGCCATTTGGTGTCATTTTATTCAATAGTCTCGGTCTGTCCCGTGGTCTTGAGTGATTGCATGATGGCTTCCAAGATTCAAAGTCGGTACTTTCAAGGTACCTGTAAGTTCTGACAGCCACACGCTGCAAGAGGGGCCGCTATCCCCCATGGCGACTAGACCAATCACCATTTCTGGTAACGCAGGCACTAAGCAGTACTTTGTGTGCCAAAAGATGCCCAACTCGCGTGGCTCCAGCAGGGTCCAGGGAAGAGCGGGCTCGTTGCAGTCTCTCAGGGGCAAGGTCTGAAAAGGAAATAATTGTGTGGCACTGAGAGCTCAAAGTACCTCCAAAGTAGCTTTATTAGGTTCGCTGCCAGCCACGACATTCTCCACTTACATCAGGAAGGTCGTACTGTACCTACCATATGGCTCTATGGCTCTTTCCTCCTACCTAAGACCCCGTCTTGTACCAATTCTTCTCCTGTGAACATATTCTCCTCCCTCTCTCCTCTCCATTCAATTTCTCTCTCTTCTATCCTACAACATCTACAGCCTCAAAATATCTCTACATCAACTGCACATCGCCTCAATTGCTCCCCACGTCTAGGATCATCGTCCTTGTTCCCAAAAAAGCACGCCACGCCGCGTGTTGAATCCCTGCAACTTGCAGTCAACCACAAGCCACCAGACCCTTGCTCCAATTTTCCACCTCTACCTTACCTTACGCTACGCTACAGCACTGTGCTGTCTGCGTCTGTACCTTGCCTCGTTATTCTGCGGTACCTCTTCACCCTGGTCGGGCCAGAGCCGTTGACTAGAACTCTCCTTTCTCTTCGCCCTGTTCTTGCGGGGAGTTTGAGACTCAGCTTCGTCATCTTAACCCGCTTGCTGGATCCCAGTCATCAATTACAGCTTCATTGAGAGTTTTGATTGCCATTTCAATTCTCTTTTGAGCTCCTTGGCCCTCGCTTCGCCTATCCTTCTTTGCTGAATACCCCTTTCCGAATTCGGGCCCTCGCCATCGACCTGCCTTCTTCCATTCTCCGTCCGATCCGCCTTGTATCGTATCGTGCACGAATCACCGATTTATTTTCCATCATGTCGTCTCTTTTTGGCAAGAGCGGCGGAGGTTCGCGATTCCAGCTGCCCGCTCTCAACCTCAACTTTGGTAGTATCACAGACGGCACCAATATCCCACCGCCTCCGGAATCACCTGTGCAGAAGGTCCCAACTCCTCCACAGACACCTCCACCCGTCAAGGAAGCCAAGGACGAATCCCAAAAGGAGCCAGGACAGGATACATACAGCAGTGTCACCGAGGACGTCAATAAGAACACACCTCAGCCAAGCATTACTGCTTCTTCCAATGGTAATCTCGCTGGAACCAAACGCTACGCCGACGAGGATGCTCCTTTGAGCCCAGCTGCTTCAAGCCGCCAAGGCAGCATCCGTCGCCTATTCAGTAGAACCATGTTGAATAACAGTTATGCAGAGGGCCAGATATCATCGAACGCAAGTGTCCCAGCCGCCGGCGCTGGTGGCCTTGCCCGGCCTAACAGCCAGGGCGGTGCAAGCTATCTCGACGAGCGCAAGTCTAGGAGAACCAGCGGCTGGTTCAGACGCATGAGAACCGGAGAGACGATCCCCAACAAACGAGCCAGTACCATGTTTATGGACGAGGGTCCTCGTGCACCGACACCCAAGAAGCAATCCGGCCCGCCGCCTCCCATGATACCCGAATTGACCGACCTCGAAAAGGACAACGGAAGCTTAGGTTCTGATCTTTTCAAGAACATTAAGTAGATCGACGTTTTCATACGACACCTAGAGCCAAATGCGCCTGCCGTGCTCGACTCGCCAATAATGGCTGGACAGCCACCCCGTTTTTCCCTTTCAACTATTTACATATTCAAAGACCAGAAATTGAGACAAGACAACACATTACACCTATTTTTATTATTATTATCGATCGAGCCAGAAGTAGCAGCAGCATAACATGGGTCGGTCCAACCCTTTTTGAAAACACGTTTCTTCTACCGCAGCCGTTTTCTGCGCAACGAGGCGGATGTTTTCAGCCCATGTCTTGGGGGAAAGGGTGTCTGCAGTGGAGCAGGGGGGAATGGGGAGAGGAGGATTCAAGAGCAGTGCAGTGTGATGAAGGCAGCTCATCAAGATACCCAACTCGTTTCGCGAGCTCACTTATCCGGTGTGCGAATTATGGATTTGTTTTCTTCTTGTTTGGCATTGCTTTAGTTGTCTATGCTATGCGCTATGATACTACAATGCAGTGTATCATGGTCATGTTACGGGTTTCATGTCACTATTTGTCATTTATTACTTGCCACCATCACCTGAACGGCCCCTGTTATTACTATACGGAGAATCATCTCAGATTATTATTTCTTTGTGAGAGCTATAAGGCTACTTTCTTGAAATATTTTGGGAGGTGACAGTAAAGAGCATGCCGCGGATGCTCTTTTGGATTTTACACATCTATTTCTAAAGAGGAATTTGTACAGATAGGTGATTCTGTCTTAAGAGAAAACAAGGAGAGTTTTTGGAGACAACACGCCAAGACATTGGTCAAAGCTCCGTTACTAGAGGGAAGTCTCCCTTTTGTTACATTGGATATGAGGCTTATGAAGAATTGAACCTCAGATCCTTACTATCCACGGTCCCTGATCTGATCCATGCGCAGGGAAGGCTGACTAGAGATCTGTGATAGTTCCGCCCGCCCGCGGCTTGCTTGTGTCGTAATGTGAAGCACAGATCAGGACGTTCAAATGCGTTGGTGACCGTCACTGTATCTATAATATTCTGATGCGTATCTGGGGCTGTACAGAGTTTTCTTGATGATATCCGATTCATGCCCGTTTAACAACCGACGGCATTCTGTCAGGAGGACTTGGGTGACACACAGTCACTCATACATCCAAGCCCTTATTTTTGAGCTTTGCATACAAAGCGTCCTTAGAAGCTTCATATCCGGGTACCATAATGCCTTCACCAGTGGGAACTGGCGCATTGAAGAGAGGCACAACTCTCGTTTCCCCTTTGGTCACTTCGAGGATGGTGCCATTACCATACTCTGGGTTGACGACAAGTTGCCACATGCCTTGGGCCACTTCTAGAGGATCTATGAGAGCTGTATCTTCGTCTAGCATGACTGCTTTGGTTGGATCCTCATGCCACAAGGGAGTCTAGTGGTAGCCATACATCAGCAGCCACCCGAGGGCTCACAAAGACTTGATGGGCTTACCTCTACTGCACCGGGAGCAACACAGCCGACTCGAATACCAAGTTCATCACGTAGTCCTCCCAATGCTCTCACAAACCCATGCAACCCATGCTTGCTCGCAAAGTACAAGGGTGTTGCGATGCCAGCTAAGTAACCTGCCATACTGCCAACATGTACAAGGCATCCCTTCTGTTTCGTCTTTGTCCAATGCCCGATAGCTAGTTGACTGAGCCGAATGGGAGATACCAAGTTCACATCCAACACTGCATAATGCCCAGGTTCCGCATTGGCATCATCTCGAGAAACGCTATCCTCATTACTCTCAGTCCTAGGTGGTTCCCAGAAGGAAGACCATTGAGGCTCAAACAGACCAGCACCTGGAACGACAATATCGACAGTTGTGAACTTTCTTAAGGCCGTCTTCCAAGCAGCCGTCAACTGTGACCAAGATGCAACGTTGGTTTCTTGAAACAAGACCCCAGCTTTGCCGTCAACACCGGGGAACGGATATTGCCTCAGGAGTTGTTCAGCTTCGGGCCGTAATTTGAGATCGGCTATAAGGACCGAACATCCACTGCCTAGCAGTAGACGAACAAAGCACAAGTTGATACCTGGGCTTCATGTTAGTCAATATAATTCCTTGTATGTCTATGCATTTGGCGTGTGTATACCGGAGCCGCCGCCAGTGACAAGCGCAGATTTCCCCTGCACAGACGTTGTCATATTCCTTTTGATTAGAAGTGTTTCACTTTAAGGTTGTTGAATTGTTGGTGATCCGATCGCCGGCGAGGGTCCAATGACATGAGTTGTATTTTTCAGGGCTGTATGATCCCTACTCAAACTGTGATATGAATCAACGTTGCGGTCGCTCACTCGAATGTTTTGAATAAGAATAAGAGAGTTGATATTAGAGAGAAGAGTGAACTGGATTGCAGTTCCTGCGGGGTAATCCTATTATCATGTCAAAGACACTAGAGGCATGCATGGGCTGACGAATGAATCTACTTCATATATGGGTTTCATGCAAAGTCTAATCTTTGTATACATATACATATATTCTGACCTCTGTTCCTAGCAACGATATGTTGTCTCACCCCCAGGACTCTGATGCATTCATCTCAAATCAAATCAAGCCCCAGCCTTCTCCTCGTCTCCTGATCCTTGCACCTGCATCGTCTCTGAATCCGAATCCTCCGGTTTGCCCTCCCGACAAGCCCATCCATCCACTAATCGCAACGTCTCACGGCTCCACACGCGGTTCATGAGCGATAATCGGACGGGAACTAAAGCGATGATGATCAGAGGGAATGCAGGGGCCGCAACTGTCAGGGTCACCCCAAAAACAATGCCTGTCATAATGATCTGTGTGATTGTGTACATGTGAATACCGAACCAGCTAACATTGTCGGGCAGAGGAGGGAGATCAGATGGCGGAGTGAGTAGGTTCACAACTCTCTCAAGAATAGGGTTGACAGATAGAGACTGGTAGCCCATAAAGAGAAACAGGCCAGCGAGCACTGACGTCTGAGTGAGACCCAGCAGCTTTTGTAGCGGGGGAGATACAAAGATAAGAATGAGAGAAGCTTGGATGAAGTGAGAATACCTCTGCTCATACGTCCTTGCGACGGGCCGAGGCGAATCTGGCTGCTCCCATTCTTCTGCGGGAGGACTCTCAATGACATAATGCATCAAGGATTCTGAGTGAAGGGGTGCTTGAGGCAACAGACCGTTTGCGGGAGGAATACCCAGAATGCCACAAAGAATGGTAGTGGTTCCCAAGAGAGCAACATCCCAAGCATATCCACCTGGCTTCTTGGTTCCGTATCGTTCCACGGTGCAGATAATACTGCTGATTTCGTGGTCGAAGTAAAACAAGACCGTGACGATAGCGCCCGGAATCATGGACAAGAAGACCCATTCGATAGGTATCTCCCAGAAGCGAACAAAGAAGGTCGTTCTATCAGGGTTCGTAGGTCGGAAGCTCGTTTGGACTTCGAGTCGGATATGATCCAGTGATGCCAGTTCCCCGATATATGGAATTCCGATCCAGATAATGATGGAAATAGCAGCAGCATATTCCGTAAGTCCAAGTCGAACGTACCGATGGAACATGGGCTTCCACGAGTTTGCGGTGGACAGCAAAATGGCTAGGAGACAAGTTCCCACCGCTCCAAGAACGGCATATAGAAAGGCAGCGAAGGAGACTCGAGCATGGGTTCGCTTCAGCTCCATGGCCGCCTTGTGGAAGTAGATGACACTGTTGAGAAGTGAGAAGATATCGGCACTGAAATGGGTGACATATTGCATGGTCCAGTCATGGGCGTTGAAGATGGCAAGGAGATAGTGCATCCATCCAGCGTGGATGAGGGACCATGCCATGACTGGTAGAAACTCGACCTGATTGGTGTTAGATGATGAGCACGTATACGAATATACATGCATTATTGACTTACATGAAAGTGTGTTTCGCATAGTTCGTAAATGTTCTCAGCCAGCACCGAGAATGGACCTGTGACGCCCAGAATCGTAAGAGGTTGACCTGAGAAACTTGAGGCTCTTATCAGTATGTCTTCATATTAAACGGCATTCACATGCTACCAACAGAGAGAAGACGAGGCCGCAAAGTCCAGTGCTGAACACAACCTCGATGGTCCCCCACGACTTGCCAGTCAGCGTGTATAGATCACTGGCGAAAGTGATGCCTGGAAGAAGGTTTGTAAAGAAGATGTAGACTGCACTTGCAACCACCTGTTGATTGAAGACCTGCCAATCTGACAAGTATCGACTCTTGAGATTGATGACATCTTCCTTGAGCAGTCGAAAGGGTCGAAGTTTTCCCCGTCTTGTAAAATATCTGGATGCTCGACCTCCGTTGGTAGGGCTCGATGGATCATCCTCAACTGGGGCATTTTGAGTGTTTGGCGTGATGGTCGGCGTCCGCTCAACATTGATAGAGTCTTGGATAGGCTCTGGCCCAGCCATTGTTCACGTCGGTCTTGATACAACAGACAAGACAGAATTGGTCGTTTCTATGATGGTTTTGAAGCACATATTGGAAATTCGCCTGATCCCGGGGGCTTTGAGACAACTTATTATTCTCCCAGTCTTGCTATGGCTTCGGTTCAGTAAAAAAGCACAGTCTTGGCTTTTTCTTGGCTTTGACGATTTTCCTTGGCTTTCTACAACCTTTTGCCCTTGTCGGTGCCGTAAAGGGCGAGGCGGCACTTTGTTTATGTCTCCCCATGCTTTGTCCTAAACCGCGTGGGCAATTCTCCAATATCAATTGGTTCAACAGGGTCTTGACGATACCTAGAGCTGAACGTGACGTAATTATTCTTATCACTAAGTCTTATCGACACGTGCGGAGGGGCGAGGCTGACTGTGGTGGGGCACCAAGACGAGGCTGAGAATCATATTTACATCATGCCCTCTTTTTCAGGGTCCTCTTCATCACATCACATCTCAATGCTCCACGATACCCAACTCAAAGTCAACGGCGCATCTTCAATTCTCTTTCGCATACGATATATATCCGAAAAGATATACTGAATCGACACAATGGCACAGTTTGTCCCTCGGCAAACTTTTGTCGTACCGAACTCGATCCCGAAAACGTACTATATCGGTCATCATGCCAAGGGTTTCAGCGATATGACAAAAATGAAGAGCCACATCTCTCTTGCCCTCGAATGTCGCGACGCTCGAATCCCTTTTACATCACACAATCCCAATCTAGATCGCATCATAGGCGGGTGCGAACGAATCATCGTCTACACAAAATGCGATTACACAACAGACACACCAAATCTCCAGAACACTCTGCGCAAGATGTACGGTGATAATGTCATCTTCTGGGACAAACACAGAACCTCTACGACAGTTAAGCTACTCAAAAAGATCAAGGAAGCTGTCGTAGCGCATGATTCAATACTCGGTTTGCGAGCCCTAGTTGTCGGAGTGCCCAATGTCGGGAAGAGTTCAGTGCTCAACGCTGTACGGTTCCAAGGCATACCGAGAAAATCGCCAAAGGTAGCCAAGACTGGAGGTCAAGCAGGCGTGACGCGCAAAATGGGCACAAATGTGCGCATCTTCGACCCAGAGTCGAAGAGTAAGAAGGGTGTAGGCCTAAATGGTGCATTTCTGTTGGACACCCCTGGCGTCTTCCCACCTTATGTCCGTGACGGCGAGACTATGCTCAAATTTGCGCTCGTCCAGGGCATAAAGGACGGATTAATACAACACGAAATACTGGTAGACTACCTCCTCTATCGGATGAACCTCTTCAAGCCGACCTTATATAAGAAATACTGCGAACCCACCAACGATATTCATGAGTTCCTTACCGCCGTTGCTTTGAAAGACGGCCTAATAAAGCTGAAAGGCGTTCCCGATTTGCAATCAGCTGCTACCAGAATCTTAAATTTATGGCGACAGGGGAAAATGGGCAAGTTCGTGCTGGACGATATATCTGACGAGGGATCGGAGAAACATCAGCAGTCCATAGACAATCCTCCTTTAAGTTTGAACCAAGCAAAGAAACAGAAAAAACAGGCACTTGCACAAGAGAAGGCAGGCGCTTAGCATGTTCAGGAATTCATTTCTGTACCATACATTGTATACTAGAGCATATTCCATGTACACTATTTAAGCCTATTCTGTTTCTCATGCCAAACTTGATTCGAGTTGTCCCCATGCCTTTACCATGTCTCTCAAATTGTGCAAAGACGCCAATGACCGAATCCTTGGGGCGTACTAGGGTATATATAGAAAGATAGCCGGAACACCAGAGAGGATCTTCGCCTCGTGAAGTGGTTCCGGTGAAATAATAACATCGACCACAGAACATAGACAAGTTCAAACAACTTTGCCCGCTGCATCTCCTGCGGATGCTGGTGACGCCCCTGAATGCACCTAACCGTAAACGCCTTAAATAAGAATCGAACGCAGGCCCCTTTTGTCTCATCACGATGGACCTGTTCAAACAAAATGCTGCCGTCAGGTATACTGATTCTGCCACTTGACCATATCTCGCGTCAGAACATCCATCATCTCTATACAGTTCAGATCCTTGAAATCTTTGGTCCCAGAAGAGCCTGCTGTATCCTCATTCCCTACAGAATGGGAATCTGAGGACTTTGGCGGCGATGCTCCTCCGTTGCTTACGTTTCCGTTCGTGCCTGGGATTGCTTCTGCTGCAAGGTCCACTTGGGTCCTTGAAATAAAATCCATGATGGCACCAACACGTCGCTTCATATCCACCATATTCAACTTGTGGTGCAAAGCTGGCTTTGATTTGCCATGTCGATGTTCACTCGTGGGTTTCGTGTGTGTAGGGGTGGGTTCTTCGCCGTTCTTTTGAATGTCCCGTGACATAGATCGTGCCGGGGATTCGCCATCCGCATCGCGATCCCTGGTGTACTGGTTCCTGCCTTTGCCCTTCTTATGCGTGGCTCTGCCACCGCGCTTGGCGGTGCTTGAGACGGGCTGATTGCTCGCGGGAGGTGTATCGGGAACGGGTGGCGCAGGTGCAGGAGTTTCCATGATGACTGGTGTCTCGATGCTTTTGGTGGCTGGAGGTTTAGCAATGGCGGGAGGTGTTTCCTCTGAAGGGTCAGAATCTGTACGATAATCAGTACCAATCTTGAGTAGAATTTACGGCCCAACTTACCCTCTCCTCGTCGCCTTTCTGCACGGCCTTTCCTTTTATCTGCGGCTTCCTGTCGCTGGCGCTCTTTGTCTTCTTTCTCGGTCTTGGTTCGCTGATTCTTGTTGTTACGAGCTTTCTTGGCTCCATTGCGAGTGTTAACCTCCTCATCTGATTCATTATAACTTTGAACCTCGACCGGTTCGGTGGGAGGTGAAGGCGACATCGAACTGGTTCTCTGTCGCTTTACACTTATTGGGTTCCTTAGTGATGCCAGTTTTTCATCCCGTGGCCGAGCACTGACGGCGATTGACTCCTCACTATCGCTTCGTCCCCGTTTCGCTCGTCGGGTCATGATTTCTTGTCCATCTTGAGGGACATCTTCTTTGCTCGCTTCAATGGCGCGCAGAAGTTGTTCGTCTTCATAAGCTCGGTCGCGGCTATTCATTGTGGATCGACGTTTCGAGGTTTGTGAAGCGGAAGTTGGACGCGAGTTCTTGCTCGTGCCAATTTTGGGCGAACGATTGCCTTCTTTAGCAATTGAGGTGGCTCGAGAGGTTGCGCGCGACGGCCGGTTATGGGGAACATATTTGGACCATTTTTGGCTGAAAACAAACATGTCAGTACCTAGATTCATAGGAGGGTGATGCGCACAAGATGCTTCGTCCGGGAATTAAAGCAACCAGAAATTTCAAACGCGAACATCAGACTTGCCGACCAAGAAAGATGCAGAGAAATCGATCAGAGAAATCAACTTACCCGTTGCTTGCAGTATATATCTTATGGAGATCTTTGCGGCATTGCTCGCAAAAATATTCCTCGGGCGAGCTCTCAGCGCTAAAAATGCCGACACAGGCGCCATGCTGCCAGACTTTACAAATGTCGCATTGAACGAAGAAGCCGGTAACGTCTTCAGTAAATTCTATGGCATTGAAGAAATCCAGGTCGGCACCTTCCACGGGTGGGCGACCCGGGTATTCTTCTGCATCACAGATACAACGAACGGCTTCGTCCTCCTCTTCTTGGAGGTCATCGCTGCCATTCGCCATTTCAAAAGTATCGGGTTTAGAAGTCTTCTCGTTCTCGTCTTCGTGGTTGCGCTTTCGCCTTCGACCGAGGAGGGTATCGTCAAGATCTTCAAATGGCTCCGAGGACAAAGAGGCACTGGGGGTGGACTTGTTGGAAGAGGGTTTGGCGACTGATCTCGTATTCCGCTCAACTCGACCAGACGTGCTTGAGGATACAGATGATTGTTGTGATTGTGAATTGGTGGCGCGGGCTCTTGATGACCGTCGCGGCGAGGGTGGTGCCATTGAGGGAGCCGGGTCACCGATCTGAGGTGACCGAGGAGAAAATGGAAGAAAGAGGACGAGGGAGGTTGTCGAAACTAACGGCGCGTGGAACACAATAGAGTAGAAATGTTCTTCTCGGCGCCGACGGAGCAGTTTAGAGGAAAGAAAATCGCGAGAATTGGTAGTGGTGAGCAAGTGCTAAAGATTGTTAAAGCTGGGTAGTAACCAGCGATGAGTGCGACTACTGAAAGAAGAATGTCGAGTAAGGGCGACGGTATCGAAGGAGGGATTGGCAAGTAAGCATATCGAGACCGAGTGAAAACGCCGTGGTCATGACACGGAGAGATGCCGTAACAATGAGTATGGGAGAGAGAAGAGTGAGTGGGTGGAAGCTTTCTTCGGAACGAGGAGGAGTAGGAAGAGGAGGAGGAGGATAGCCAGAAGAGGCGCGGGCATGGGCATGGGTGTGGGAAAGTGGGCAGGAAGGTGGGCGCGGGCCTCACTTGCTTGGGATCCTTCCCAAAGCAAAAGCCGATGGAACCACTGCAAGTCTACCTGCAGGACATAAAGTTATAGCGCTTTTGTGCAGACTGAGCTCAGTAACAAGCTCGGAATACAGGGGTCTTTTGGGGTTTACGGGTGTCTCTTACTGGAACAGAAAAGCTAGCCAGGGCAGCATTAGTGCCCACTCATCACTGAGGTGCAGCGCATCACAGGTGCTAAGTTTCGAACTTAGTGATCAGAAGGCTATTGGCCAGCTCCAGTATGAGAAACTCCGAGAGCGGTTCGTTTCCGCTTCTTTAAAGGCTGTTTCCATATTAACTGCCCTACCATGCATGCCCTGCAACTCCTGACGAGTGACATCAGGAAAATATTGAATACCCTGTCTGCAGCTGATGACACCTCGAGTAACCACAAAACAGTTTCACAGTGCTCTAGTCCAATATACTAGGTACTCAGGATAGGTAGGACTACACATAGAAGAAAATGTACAGTTGAAGCTCAAGATCGTAAACACCAATCACAATCGTCTTTTTTTCTTATTGGAGATGACGGGAAGGCGGGACAGTCATGGTCAATACTATTTTAGGTAGGCGGCAGGCTGATTACCTAACCCGCCACCTCCCAACGGCCCTGTCTAGCACCTCCACAGATAGTTGGTGATTCAATCACACTCAAATACAGCAACCTTGAGGGCGTTATCGGACTTCGCATTGTGCTATTCTGGCTACTCGCTTTGGTAATTCTTGCTTCATAAATTTTGTCTCCTTTTGTGCCTACTGTGGCGTCTGCGCTCATATAAAAGCGTCCCTTCGTGTCCGCGAACCCCCCCCTCCATCACCCCGTCCATGACTGGGTAAGCGAGCCCCGGCCTTGAGCGACCACGAGCGAGCGAGTCTGGCAGCCATTCGTATACCTACTACAGGAATCGATACAAGTACGAAACGAGGCCGAGCTGGTGCAAGCTGGTACTCGTGCCAGTGCCAAACACTCAGTCGTGATATCGACGATATGTTCTGACCCGCACACAGAACGTTTTAGAGCCCGACCGAACCAAGTTTACCCCTCTGAGCTCTGAAGAGACAAGCCAGTCTTTTGCAAATCACCGTTTTGATTTTCTCTACGGATTGTATAAGTGGTATTGCAGTATTGAATCTGTTTTGTCGCCAACGAATTGTACAAGCTCCGACCCCTCGTTTGGCAGCGCTTGCCCTTCGACTGTCATCTTTTTCGCTGTCTAGAACAGATCCTATAAAATGTTCGATGGGTACGCTTTTCGTTTACTTTGCATTTGGCCCGTCGGTTGCCAATCTAGCTGGTGTTGATTCTGCAACTGCTTTCAACTGCCAGCGGGGCTGAGCAGCTTCTGACGGTGCCAACAAACCTTCCATCACCATCTGCCGCCATGTCGAAGTTCGCTTTAATTGTGGCGATTCTCCTCATCGTTCTGGTGATCTACGTGCTAACGAGAAATGTTCGTTCACGCGCAGGTCATAATCTCAACATGTCGCCAGATACTGTATCGTCGCTGTTCCCAGACCGACCGATTCGGCCGTTACCGAAACGTCGACTGCGCGAGAAGCTCTCACCTGGGACCGTAGAGACGATAACGTATCCTCCTTCAACTGACGAAACTACGCCTCTCTTTTATTACCCACCATACAACTTCAGGGAAGACGGGAGCCCACCAAGGGCATGTTCTACAAGCCCAGCCCAACAAAGTCGACGAGCGGAGGAGGGGCGCAACTATACCCCTCGACGAAATGGGTTGGGGCTGGCAGATGGCGATGATGATGAGCCGGCTTTGCGAAGCACTCTCGTTACTAGATCACCCCCCGAGATCTTGACTCGTGGTACTCAACGATCTTCAAAGCCCGATATCCCTAATCCGCAACCGCCGCTCTCCGCAACGTCCTCTGTGGATGGTTATGATGTATTTGAGAACACAAACAACAAGAAGAAGCGGAAAATTCCTTCTATGGGGGACCCTTTGATTAATGGGACTCAGGGCTTGAATAATGAGGTAGGCTCTCTTGCCATTTCAGCTGGTGCAGGACATTCTCCTACCAATGAATCACACAACGACCGAGCGCTCTCCCATTCAGCTTCACATCCAACCACCGGCACTTTTTCATCCAATAGCCAGGGAATCTCAGGACCTGGAAGGGGCAGACTTGGGCGTTCAAGGAACGGCAGAAGCCCGCTGCGGGCGTTGTCTGATGGCAACAGTAATGCGTGGGCTGGACGAGGCTCAAAAGTCACAGCATCTCAGTGGGCTCCGGGCGGTACGTCAATTCTTTTCTTTTCTTTTCTTTTCTTTTCTTTTCTTTTCTTTTCTTTTCTTTTCTTTTCTTTTCTTTTCTTTTCTTTTCTTTTCTTTTCTTTTCTTTTCTTTTCTTTTCTTTTCTTTTCTTTTCTTTTCTTTTTCCTTTTACTTTTTTTTCATGCTCTGTTGCTGTGTTTTCAAACTCCCACATGTGGATTTGTCGCCAGCGTAGACATTCAACGGAGCTTCTGAACCTATTATGCCGAATCGCCTTTCGTTATGGACAGGTTGTTGTGCCTGGAGATTTTGCTACTATCCTTCATCGCTTTCGGCTAACAGCATAAAACGGAACGGAAACTTGCACATCATTTTCCACACTCCTTCCAGCGACGACTTGCACTGCCGCTTAGCTGATGGGATTCTCTCTCCCTCATTCCTTGATCTCCGTTTCTTTCAATAATTGCGCATTTTATTTATGACTCAGTTCCGGCTGCTGACACAAACTCAGAGCAAGAGGGCAGTGGTATAATATCAAATGCCATCGCAAACGCCGAGAAACTTCGACCTCAGGGACAGGAGAACGTGAGTCTGCTTCAGCAGCATTCTACTGCAACAAAATCGACTCCAGCGTCGACCCAATTTACTTTCACCTGTGATTTCCAAGTTCCTGGCACTATTCAGTGGCCCGGTGAGTACATATTGCATAATCGAGACTTCCACTTGTTGACATAGCCGCCAGGTCACGCGAGTAAGCACAGCATGTCGACTCAGGCTGGTCCTGGCTCCCTACCACCTGGCAGTGTTGCTCATCATGATGGGTCTTCCGTTGCAGCTAGTCGAGGCTCCGGAAGTTCTCGTCGAGACAGCAAACGACGTTTAGACAGATCACTGGAAAGGGCTGCACGGCGTCGTCGTCAAGAGGCGCGACACGATCCCGCCAAGACAGCTAACGGGTGGATATGCGAATTCTGCGAGTACGAGATGATATTTGGAGTACCACCCAGAGCATTGATCCGACAGTATGAGATGAAGGACCGCAGACGCCGACAGGAAGAAGCTGATCGCAAACGACTCCTCGAAAAGGCTAAGGAGAAAAGCAGGAAGGGCAGAAAGGGCGGTAAAAAGTCTGCGTCTCGGGGAGAGAACGCTACCGCCCAAACCCCGCCTCAGGAGCGTGGCACATCTATGGGCATGAACCACAACCATTCAAATCAGTCAGGAGAGGACGAGAACCATTTCCCGAATTCAGCAGGAGATCGCACTGGGCCAGACATACCGACTGAGGTCCAGTCATCATAGTTTGCAAGCATGATTCAGTGGAAGGGGCTGCTCCCAGCAATCGCGGGACTCCCTATTTTAGCCTTGATGATCGGGGGTGTGTCGTCGACCAACAAGGCTATAAAGGGGCAGGTACACCTAGAAGATATCAGTGAACCAAGACACTCTGAGGATACACCTGAGTCTGGTGGGCACTTGGCACTCTTGCTATTGAAGACGAAGAAAGGGGCAGTCCCTGTTTACGACGAACTCCTTGCTTCTTACTATTGGGGAAAGCGTTGATAACAAAAGACTGAGCCACTCGGTGGGGAGGCGGCTCAGTAACGATACGAAAGTGGCATTTGGTTTAAGGATAGGGAATAGGAATAGTTAGGAATGTTGCAGCTTGTGCCACCGCAAACAGCATTTGGTTTCAATCAGCCAGACCAAGCAGTCACATTGTGATAACAGGGATATCCTAGCTTTTCCAACATTTCTTAACCACACATTGCTTTTCTGTCCCAACCTTTCAATGTGCACAGACAAATGCTGCAAAATTGCATGAAAGAGGTTCGGCTACGATTGAAACGTCCTAGTCAGGTTGTGACGTCAGAAGACTGTTTAGTTCAGCTGGAGATTTGAGGTGGGTTTTGATCTTGGTTATGCGGAGAGATGGGGCTATAGCATGGTTAAGAATCGAGTAGATCAAGAGCGGTTGTTTTCTGTTGGTGATATCAGTAAAGAGTGCTCTGTAAAACTGATTGAACGCATGCACTGAGCAATGTCTTTGCTTCTACGTAGTATGGATGTTTTACGGTCTTGTTGTCCTCTGGCTACTCCCATTGTCCCCAGGTTCCATCCGAATCCCGATACAGGACAATACCACAGTCCCTCAGTGGGTCAGTACTGCTTTGAATGAGCCGCGTGCCTCAGGTCAAGCGACCTACATAAGAACCAAGCAAGATTATCCCCCAGGTTGTTTATGTTTATTCCGCCGAGCAATCTTGTAGATCTCGGCAGCTAGAAGCTGGAGGCCTGCCGAGACGGGACCTGATAAGGCACTGATCTACAATTTGAATTACTGATCGATGGATCTGTGCAGCAGACGGGGGTCTCTTTGTGATCGCACTACTAAAAACCGGAAAGTTGAGGTTTGTTGTATCCAATGTGTACTGTGTTAGACAAGTCTGTACGATGATAACCACGTGTTGGTCTATGTGGACTGGGAGTAACAGGAGGCTTCCGTGTTTCGGGTACGTAGTTGGATAGATGACATGACATGGTTATCACTTCAAGCAAAGTCATTACAATTAGCTTATTGGACCCTTGATTTTCCATCTGCAATGCGCCCTGGAACCACCAGAATAAAAACAATACATACCAGAAGCTAGCGTAGGTGGGGTCTGCTAATTGAGGCTAGTGTTAGTGGCTTCATACCTGTCGTCATCAGGTCTCTAATGAGCATGGACATGGAACCTCCCTCCCTCGTCTCCGTCCTTGGAGTCTTCCTCAAACTACTTTTTAGCAGCCCTAGACTAATTTCCGTCTCAACCCATCCCATCCCATTTAATCCTGACGTATACACGACAGAGCATTTCTTACTACGACTACCTTGACTCACATCTCAGCGTCATTATTCACTAACCTCCGAAATTCCGTGGCCTTGGTCTTGATGCAAGCCGTCTGTTGAGCTGAGCTGGCCTTGCGCCGCTTTCGATCTAGTCAAGCTCAAACCAGCCCATCATGTTTGGAGGTTCAAGGAGGCATCGTCCTCCCACTCAGGTGAGCCCGTCTTCCTCCTCTGCGCAGTACTTCACTTCACTATACTATTGCGGCTCCTATAAAACCGGTTTTGGCTTTTGGCTTTTGGCCCGCTACGGAACCCGCCCTGGTAGGCAAAAGCCATTAACTTAAGCTCACCTGTTGAGACTTGCCGCATTTGTCTTTGGTTGTTGTCTTTGACCTTTATCCCTTCATGCGACTCTCCCTCTCTTGGTCCAATTCTCTTTTCCTTTCCATCCTCTTCGCAATTACACTTACGTTGCTAACATGGCGCTTTCATCTCAGCCGTTGACCCGGGAGACTGCCAATCCCAACGCTGCGACAGCCGCCGCATCGGCCTTTCTAAGGCGTGAATCAACGCCATCTCTGTCATCAGCTGCTGCGGCTGCAGCTCTCAAGGCTCGACCTACAACCCCCACCAATGTATCGCAGGTTCAATCGAAACGAGTTGCGCGGAGGAGCGCTTCCGTCTCGTCTACAGGAAGTCGGGACAGGAGGAGTCGGGAACTGCATCGATCACCGAGCGCAAGTTCTATGACAGAACGGACCTTTCGATCACCATCACCCTCACCAGCACGGGTCGCTGCCCCACAAGCTCAAGATGTTCCTCCGGTGCCCAAGATCCCCCAGCATGAGCACAACAAGGCCAATCCGAAGAGCTCGACCCACAAACGAGCAACAAGCTTGCAAACGCAACATTTCCAAACGGCGAGCCAAAAGATGAAAAACGGCCAAGTTCAAGGTTCATGGTTTGGAGCAGCTACAGGGAACGATTTGTCTAACGTGCGTCGCGCCCCTGTGGCTGATAAACGGGCATCTGCAGATATACGACCAAGCAGCCCGAACTCTATCAATTTCTCGTATCCTCGTTCCATGACAGAGTCGCCAAGTCCATCAAGCAATGCCATGGTATACGACCCTAATTCGCGACGGATGGTTCCTCAGGCACAACTTTTAATGATAGATCAAACTGTCCGTGATGCATCAGAGAAGCCCGTTCGCAAGCAAAAGCATGATGGATCCAGGACTGGCACTCACTTGTCCAAGGGCACCGTCGGAAGACTCAAGGGCACTGCAGTCGAACCAGCATCACCACCACCAAAGGCAGTCGCAAGCCCACGAAGTCCTTCGGATACTTACGTCGCGACAACCCAACAGCCTGAGCACCTCAAGCAGGCCAGTCGCCCAGAAGCTGACCCTGAATCTGAGCTCGAGTCAGATCTCGAATCTGAGCCAGAAACCAAGCGTGAGGCGAAGCCTGACACCAGTTCCAATCTGTTAACCGGGCAAACATTAATTCAACAAGAACAAGAGCCAGATGTCGAGACGCCGAGGCATCCGAATCAGACTACTGTAAGCCCACCAGGAGTGACGAAGCCCGAAGCGTCGGTTAGAAAGCGTCCTTCTGTAGTGCATGAAGACCCTGAACTAGAGGAGGAGGAACAACGTGAGGCTGCCCAGCCTCCGAGTACCCACGAACACCCGATGGATGGAGTTGATGCCATCCCTGTGAAATCAACCTCGCCACCTCAACAGGCACAGGAAGCTACACCAATCTCAGGTCCCAGTGAGACTGTGCGCCGAAATCGAGTGCATTCTGAAAGTCCTGCTCGCAGCCCTGCCCGTACAACCCATTTTGCTCCCAAGACCGATCAGCTACTCGTTAGGCATGAGCCGCCTCCAAGGTCATTGTCGCCACGAAAATCCGCTCTTAAGTACTCAAGTCCTCGGGATGCATCTCCCTCAGAAGATGGCTCAGATGCGTCTGCTGCCTGGTCAGGTATGGCTGGGCGTGAAGAAGTAGAACTTTCACGGAAGAAGAGCGTCAGGGTGAGCTTCGATGACGGAAATACGGCTGTTATCGGAGAGTCTGTTCCATCGTCAGATACAGATTCACCACAAATTGCCAGCCCACAGTCAAGGAAGTCTTGGCATAGCATCATCGGGCGGAACAAAAGAGACTCAGTAACTCTGGACGAGGACGAAACTATGACTCCTCGTCCTGCTCTCCCCTCTTTTGGGAGTATTCGCGAGAAGAAGGTCAGGGAGCCTGAGGAGCGACCTTTGGTTCGCCCTATGGAGAGATCGGCTTCACTTCCAGCTACAGATTCATTACCTTCAGAATCGAATAACAAGGCGCCTGCCCAAGACTTGGCGCAGTCAAGTGATCTGGCTATTGGGTCGGTCTTGGCACAGGAACAGGCCTCTCGCAACGAAGCTAATACTTCCAGATACCGGGAACCACTTCCCCCTGTGGTCACATCTGTTGATGGCCAAGGGTATATCAGCAACAGTGACCTGAGCTCTGATGACGAATCCGAATCAGGCGATGTATCAAGATCCCAAGCTTCTGCCGAACCTGTATCCGAAACCCAAACAACTATTAGCAACCCGGTCAGCCCCGCTGAGAGTGAATTGGCCAAGTCCAGTCCAAGCGACAACATACCAACCATATCGATAATACAACCTAGTCCCCGAATCCCCGATGAGAACCAGGCAGAGTCGCCGCAAGACTTCTTTGATGTTCCAGGGGGCTTTCCAACAGGCCCGAGTAATCCTTCCAGTGAGAGGGCAATCTCCGAGGACACCAAGGTATCCTCGTCAGAGCCTCGCCCAAGTCAACCACCTAAAGGTGTTGATCAGCCCGCGCCAATTGCGACTCGTCGGTCCTTCGATTCCACCAGCGCAGTGTCTTCAAGCTCTCAGATGCATGACATCCAGGAAGAGTCAGAGGAGTCAGATGGGAGCAGCATCTACAGTGACGCCTACGAGGATCTCTCTGACATGGAAGGCGATGGTTTCTTGTCCCTTGATGCTGTAGTCGACAGCCCAGTCGAATCAGCATTCTCTCAAAAGGTGTTTGAGAAGGCCATTGCAAAATCTAAGGAAACCAATGCGTCTCAGCAATCCACGCCCACTAAGACTCCATCTCAGAAACCCCTTCAAACGCCCAGTGATTGGGAAACAGCAAAGGCTTACTGGAGAAGTTTGAGCCCAACAGACAGACGCCAGCTTGAGAAGGAGGCCATGGAAGAATCTGACGAGGAAGACATTCCAGCAGAAGCAGTACAACGCTCAAAACCCAAGACAAAGACCCAAGCGAAGCAAAAACAGAGGCTTGTGGAAGAGCCTGTGCAAGAGCCTATGGGGACTTCGGAAGATGCACCTGTCTCAGAAAAGCTTCGTAATCCAACCAGGGTGTACCAAATCCAACCAGGCACTAGCTGGGCTCGTGATGAGGTTGAGAAGCCTCGTGTTAAGTCACCAGTTCTCGACAAAGCAAAGCAGAGTGGAGGTGCCAAACTGCGAAAATCAATGCGGGCTAGCGAGGCTACAACAGTCAGTCATCCCGAACCAGTTCAAACTGGCGGCATGCGCAAATCTATGAGATCCGGCGCTGCTCCTTCGAGCCCTCAGAGCTCACACGATGGGCATTTACGCAAGTCTCTTCGTGAAGAGCCTGAGACTACTACGACTGGTGTTGCGATGCGCAAGTCACTTAGGACTAATGGTTCTGCGGCTAATGGGCACAATACTGCTCCAACTCAGAGAAATGGTGGTCGGCCAACTTCTTATCAACCAGCGACCACGTCAGAATCGGTCAAATCACAGCGTCGAGCGCATTCTGAAGACAGGGGTCCTACTATGCGATCTACTGTGAAGCCAACCCTTACACGCCGAGGATCTGACTCAAGCGAAAGCAGTTTCCGGCGTGCAAAGGTTGGCGGCGGAGAAGGCTTCGGCTTCCGTAAGACAATGAGAGGAAGTACACAGGAACCAGCGGCATCAGCACCTCCACCAGAAAGTGCAAGGGGTAGCAGTCGATTCAGCCTTCGATCTCTGTCACCTACAGGATCAGCTTTCCGCCGTAATTCTAACACTAGCTCTCCCCCTCCAGTTATGATGGGCGGCCGTATGCGTCAGTCACTACGTACTGAGTCCAGTGATGCTGGGTCCTCTCGCATGCGGGTTTCTGGCTTTGGCCGCTCTTCCAAGGGGAAGAAATCCAAGAGCGGTAGCCGCTTCGATGATTCGAGTGATGAGGATGAGGGCCGCCCAGCATTCAGAAGTCGTTTTGTCGACTCAAGTGACGAGGATACCCCTTCACCGCTCCCCAAGCAGAAACGCGTACCCAAAACAATGCGCAGTTCGGCGTCAAACAATGCCGCCGCCGCCGCCACGGGAGTCCCGCCTGCCCGTGCAGGTGTTCAAGACTCTCCTGATCTTCCCGACAGCGATGACGAGGAAGAGCAACCTCGACAGAATCTTGCTTCCAATGGGACGGCGAACGCAGCCCCTCGGGCAACATTGAGTCGAAGCGGTTCGGGACGAGACGCGATTGCGCCGCAGGCTAACAGCGTTGAGATAACAGGCGGACGGCTAGGTCATAAACGCCGTGGCAGCTTTATGTCGTCCATTTTGCGTCGCAAGAAGGATCCTGCTGACAAGATCTCTCGAAGCACGGGTGAAAGCGCATCGCGCCGGGACACACACCTGGAACGAGGCCCAGAACGACTTGCTTTTATTCGAAGCAACAGTGAGAGCCAGGCACACAGCTCGCGTCTACACAAGCGCGGAGCAAACTGGCCTCTCCAGGACCATCAGAACACTCATGAAGAGGAGGATCAGTTCGACGACGGCTCTCAAAACACATACGTCGTTGACGAAGAGAAGCGCCCATCTACTGCTGGCGGTGTGGGCCCTTCTCCATCCTCCCCAACAACAAAGACAGGCTTTCTCAAGCGTCGCAGTACTTCCCACAGCCAAATTGGTGCTGCCAATCATGGCCTCTCAGCTTCAATCGATGGCTCAGAGGTCGGCACACCCAAGAAGAAGAAGTTCGGAACACTGCGCAGGATGTTCAAGCTTGATGAGTAGTGACGTCTATTCTTGCGCTTTCTTGTGGCACCCCTTTTCTTCGTACCATTACTATACTACACACATCAACATCTTTTGTCCTCTTTTGAGATAACACACTCGCTCCATCATCTCTTTCTTCACAAAGCGAATTCTCATTCCATCCCCTTCTATAACGCGTCACCGAAGTTTTTGTATTAATTAACGGATTAGATGGCTTACCTTGAATGACTGGTTAAGTCGGTTGGACAAAACATACGGTGCAAACCTTGGATTACAAAAAGATTAAGAGTAATATCTAGTAGCTATTTTTTCCCAAGTCCTCCAGTTTGGTGGCAGTAGTATTAGATATCAGTATTATCAACATCAGCGTTAAGAGTTGGAACATTTCCTTCAGGCACAAGGTCACACAATTCCCAAAATATTTGCCTGCTTACTTTATCAAACACCTACCGTACGATGCACCGCAGCTTGGCGTATTTTATGTACTTCGACCCATGACAACAATTTGGCATATATTATCAAGAATTATTTTCTTGAAGCTTTTATATGAAAGATTAATAACGAAACGGTGGTTTCTCATGATCCGAAGAACATCTATTGATATCGTAAGACAATTCGTTCCTGCTGTAGTGCCGTATGTGATATGGCCAGAAAGGTATTGACGTTGTATCTTTTCTTTGCCTGGATCAAGTATAGAAACTAAGAAACTTGAAGATCCAGCACAATGACATTCACTCACCACATCGCTTTCATCAAGTCAAGCAGCTCAGTAGCATCTGCAATGTTTTACTTTTAGTTCTCTAATTGGTATCAGCCGAATTCCCGTTCATTTCCTTCATGAGATAGACCCTTTAGCCGAGAGGCCGCTCCAGATCGAGTCTTCCGCTTTGCCGTCAACGCCTCGCCCCCTGAATTCGATCATGGATCTAAAGAACCATACGCGCGACTTTCAAACCTTCACTCCTAAGCCAGTAGTTCCTCATCATATAGCAAGAAGTTGGGCAAGATATCAAATGAGCATGCGGACCGCGAATGTTTTGATGCACCCGCCCAAAACTCCGTGACCATGCACCTGAAGTCATCTGAAGAAAGAAGCATTTTGCTTAGTATATGAGATAAGCCCTTGTTTAGAAATGGTGTACATAGCTGTGGTGAGACAATACCACGGCGCAGGATAACGGTGGCATAAATGGCTTTTCGGGGTACAAAGAATATTTTAGTTTCTGAATCGCGGCCTGTCGCCGCTTCGTGCCTTTTCGCGTTCAAGCAGTAGTGTTAGCTGGCTTTTTGTGCGTCCTAGGGGTACACTAGCTGTTGTAGTGGGAGGAGTTGGGGTGAAACGAGCATCGAGGATAGAGGGTTGTGGTGGTACAACGGGGATGGTGTGATGTTCAGGTCGTGAATGATCGATAGTACTCAGGTCCGACGTGGATCCAAACCCAGATTGATCAAGGATTGTGCCAGTCACCGCAACGTTGGATGTCGATGAGGTGGCCTCCGTAAAGAGGCCAGGTGCTCGAATGTTGTTGTGCGGTTTTGGTTGATCGTATCCGCCGTGGGAATGAGATCGCGCCATGGGAGGGGTTTCCTGACTCCTTCCACTCTCGAAAGATCCCACTCCGATAGTCGACCTTGAAGACGCCCCAGACCCTCTTCGTGATCCGTGATTCGCAAGGTTTATGAGAGAGCGAGCTTGGGGGAGCACACCTTTCTCTCGATGAATGCTACGAGGTCGATCTTTAGGGGGTAATGGCCGGGTTTCTTCCTCTATCACGTCCTTGGCGACTTCGTTTCTGTATGTAACTGGTCGAGCAGGGACTGCTGGTTGCTTTCCGCGTGCCTTCTCGCTCATCGTGTGACTTTCCCTGATCATGCCATTGATGTTCATAGAGGTCGGTTGGTCGCATTCCACGTTTGTGCGAGCAATGTGAGGTACGGGCCGCTGCAGCGCGCCATTCCTTGACCCGCTCGATTTTCCAGCCCCGGTTTCTCGAACAACCGGTTCTGCGGTTGATGTTGATTTGCTTGGCTGAGCGCTTTTCTTACTCGCGACAGGAGACGAGGGGGTGAACTTCTGAAGGGGTACAATGGTCGTTTTCTTCTTCGGCGGATCCGTTACATACACGGGTGCCTCAGACACTGTCGCAGCTGTGCTTCCTGAGGAGGGGATCTCGTCCTCGTCAGCGGATTCATGGGGTGATACAAAGCGAGCCGTCGGCCGGGGCCCCGACGATGATGGCCCTCGGGCTTTTTTCAAGATTGGGTGGGCGGGTGGCGGCTTTGAGGCACTTGAAGATAATGTTCTTAACGCTGAGTCGGTAGATTTCGAAGGGCGAGACCCTTGAGTTTGTGGTAGTGGTGGGGTTGCCTGAGATTCGGCGGCTTCTAGAATATGTTTGATCAGGGAGGGTATCTAGGTTGTGTTAGTCGCCGATGGGTGTCATCGTGAGAAAATCAACCTCAATGAATGGCACGTACATCAGGCCCTTCCCATCGATTCGGCGGTCCTCTGAGGGGGACAAAGGTTGGTCCAACCGAGATCTCCTCGTAGAGTTTTGCCAGGGCACTGCCTTTAAGAAACCTGCGATCACTTCCCCAGACATGCCACCAAAAGTTTTCAAGTCGGCAAGCCGTCGGATCCTTAAGCTTCTTATATGTGGTCGTGTACACTAGGAAAGCATGAGTAGTATTCAATGGTAAAGAGAAACTAAGAAATTTACCATGCCAGTACTCCCAAACCTTGTCAGGGGGGACCAGAGGGAAATCAGCAACCTCTTTATATATGTTTTTGGAGTTGATGACAATGCCCTTCGGCAGTATCATAGGCATATTCGAATCCATATTTGAGGATTTTGAAGTCATCAGCAGCCTCCGCAACGACAGGAGATGCACTTGGTGTGAACAGCGCACGTCTGCTAATGCCGCCCAGTGATTTTTCGGCGTAGAGGTGTTTATCGACGACTAGAAATATGAAGCATGGTCGCTAAATTGAACAATAAGTGAGGGATGAAGGGCCTATGGTGGAATCGACAGAGGTTAGGTGATTGCAGGTACGCACAGTGCCACTCAATCAACAGCAATGGCCGATTTTCGTTCTTTTGGCCAATTCAGGTGCCGTGGACTACTGACACAATTGCTAGAAGTTTTGAAAGCGAGGCAAAAGATTATGCGCTGGTAAACGATTTCTGGATCGCTGAAGTTGTTGTTCACACGGTCCTGTAATCGGGCAACACCAAAGCTGGGCTGAGAGGTGCAGCAGCTGACAGTTGTTAAGGGCACACAGAAGCTGCAGGTTATACAAGACTTTTTGTCTCTGCTCTTATTTTGTTCCTCTCGCGTGGGTCAATGGTTGTTTATCTCCCCCCGAAAGAAACGCCGTTGCAAAGGGAACCTCAAACCTCGAGATGGCTCGTGACTCGTAAGCTCGTGACGCAAAAATTGGCTTCTCGTGTGCAAAAAAGCGGCGAAAGTAATAAACTGTGGACCTTGTGCTGGTGAAGCGAGACAACTTTGGTGAGTGAAACTCCAGTGAAGCAGTAGAAAGCTTAGCTCAGCGTGAGCATTGGTTTTAGCTGTGAACTAAATCGAGAGCCGTTCAGGTGCCGTGTAAGTGTAACAGTGTGTTCGGGACTGTCTTGTTACATCTGCAGGTCGAATCCTCTTTTAGGAACGAATAAAGTCTGCGCGTCACGAGGTTAGGGGCACGAAAAGAAGAATGGACAGTCGAAGATATGGAAAATTCAGGGTCCAGAGGTGAAAAAGTCTGTACCTGCTAGTGAACCGGAGAAAAAGACGGTGGAGAGCCGGCGGAGGGACTGATGACAATGACTGAAGATATCGAGTACTTTGAGCTGGATTTCATGGGTACGTTTCGGACTACTGAATTCGTTGGGTCGGTATACATGAAAACTTCAATAGTGGCGGCGAAGTCGGAGGCGGCAGCAGATGCTGGTTCAAGGTGAAAGAGTACCTCTTTGTACAAGTCAAGTTGAGGGAAGACTCCCACGTCTTCATAACCCGGTGCCGATAAGCTTCGGAGCTGATGCCGTGCCGACTTAGCACTTTTCAAAAACACACGGGGTTAGAAGAATAGATAACAAGATCGGTGTATCGCAAAAAGCTTGTGCAAGGCGGCGGTTCCTATAGTTTGCTTGTGACGACGGGAGGGAGAGCGATTGAAAAGGAGTCTCGTCTGCTTGGTCGGCCAAGATGGCGGCGAAAGACGGTGGAGAGACAGACGAACAAGGTCATGTACCTTCCGGAGAGGCCGCTGCTTCGCTACTTCGTTGACTGGTCCAGGCCACAATGATCCAATTTTGATGAGTGAGTACCCTGACAGCGGAATGAAACAAAGCCTCTGCGTCGACGGGAGAGCCAGGGCGCCAGGGGGGGCCGTGTTCTAGCGACTTATCGCCCAGCACTTTTATCGGAGGTGAGGTGAGGGATGCTTGTCACCTCATCTGAGGTGCTGTCAAAGCCGGTACGTACTGCGTCGTAGTCTATGGTACTTAGGTAGGTAGCTCAGTGGAGGTGGTTCCTCCACAGACAATAGTGGACTTGAGGTGCTGTAAGTGAGAAGCCAAAAGCAAACACGCAAAAGCCACGACTGTCAGGGAGGAAGACAATGCAGGTGCTGGGAGAAGAGTTATATTGTACAAGAAGTGGAGTGAAATGCCAAGGACAGGTTGAATTAAAGAGGTTGGAGAATAAAAGTAAAAACAAGATGGGGAAATGGAAAAAAGGAAACCTCGACCATAGGCTTTAAGATGGCCTGGACTGGAACTCGAGCTCTCTTTCCGTTGGTGATCTGGGTTGACGATGGGGCTGTTCCTTCCCTAGCTTAGCTCATGACCTTTAGGAAGGCACCCGCGGAGCAAAGCTTGGGGGGGCTTCTAGTGGCCCTGGGGTGCTAAAAGAATCTGAAATGCAGTACCCAAGGTAGTCGAAGGAAGGACAAGTCCTTCAGAGAAGCTTAGAGGCTATATCATTATGACATGGCGCAAGAGATTATAAGAGTGAGGATCTGATTGATGTCATACTCGTGTAGATCTTCTTGGTATCTCGCAGAAAAAGAGACAATATTCCTCAGTCTCAATGGACTTCTCGAACCCAGACCCAGACAAGGGCAGTGGATGGAGAATATGCGCTGCGCTAGTAGGGGAGGTTACACTGGAACCTGAACTACCGGACACGCGGGCACCCTGTGACGTGCCCTTAGGCTGAACCTCACGGGTCTGTATTCTCACATGGGCATGG